AAGAGGCTCTCCACGAAGTCCGTGAGCAAGAAGTCTATGCTGAGAAGGAACGCAAGAAGGACATGCAGCGCAAGCGACGCCGTGAGAAATCCATGGCCGTCACTATGGAGCAGAAGGAAGCTGCCCTTGCTCGTGCCAACGCTGCCGAAGATGAGACCGAACGCCAGAAGCATCTTCGTGATGCTGAACGAGCCAATAAGAAGGCCCAGCAGACGAAGTTGATCTTGCAAAAGGGCATCAAGGGCCCTGCCCGGAATGTCGACCTCAACCTTGATGGTGGTACCATGTCCAGCTTCCAAGCCTCCGACGCCGAGACTAGTGGCAAGAAGACCAAGCGTGGTGGCAACCGGCCAAAGAAATCTAAGGAACAGAAGCAGGCCGAAAAGGACTCCGCCGAGGCGGCTCAGGCTGCTATTGATGCAGGTGAAGAGCTCCCTCCCCTTGCCCCCCGTGAGGATAAGGAGGGCAAAGAAGCCAAGGAGGCCAAGGAAGGCAAGGTTCGTATCAAGATCAAGAAGTCCAAGGATAAGGAGAAGTCCAAGGACAAGGGCAAAGACAAGACCGAAGTGGACAAGGACAAGGAGAACCGCGAGCCTGGAGCCGAAAAGGTCGACGACACGCCTGACTTGGAGAAGAAGTTTGCCAGCAAAGGCTACAATCAGATTTACGATCAGATCTGGCGGGACATGGCCCGAAAGGATGTTAATAAGACCTTCAAGCTTGCCACTGATTCTTATGCCACCAAGGCGTCGAATCTCAAGAAGACTGCCATCCTTGCTTCCAAGGAGGCAAAGAGATGGCAACTGCGTACGAACAAGGGCACCAAGGATCTGCAGGCCCGTGCCAAGAGGGTCATGCGAGACATGATGGGCTTCTGGAAGCGCAATGAGCGAGAAGAAAGAGATCTGCGCAAGGCAGCAGAGAAGCAGGAGATTGAGAACGCCAGACGCGAAGAGGCTGATCGTGAAGCTGCTCGCCAGAAGAGAAAGCTCAACTTCCTGATTTCTCAGACCGAACTCTACTCTCACTTCATCGGCAAGAAGATCAAGACAGACGAAGTGGAGCGTAGCACGGACAACCCGGACATTGCTCCCGATGCCAAGCAAATCCCTCACAACAAACTGGATGTCGCCGAACCTGACGGCCCCATGGGCAAGGTAACTGATTTTGAGAATCTCGACTTCGATGACGAGGACGAGACGAACCTCAAGGCCGCTGCCATGGCCAACGCTCAGAACGCCATTGCCGAGGCACAGAAGAAGGCCCGTGATTTCAACAACGAGCGTTTGGACATGGACGATGAAGGCGAGATGAACTTTCAGAACCCAACAGGTTTGGGCGACGTCGAGATCGAGCAGCCTAAGCTCATCAATGCCCAGCTCAAAGAATACCAGCTCAAGGGTCTCAACTGGCTCGTCAATTTGTACGAACAGGGTATCAACGGTATTCTTGCCGACGAAATGGGTCTCGGCAAAACTGTACAGTCCATTTCAGTTATGGCGTATCTCGCCGAGAAGCATGACATTTGGGGTCCTTTCCTGGTTGTTGCTCCTGCTTCAACCTTGCACAACTGGCAGCAGGAAGTCGCAAGGTTCGTCCCCGAGTTCAAGATTCTCCCTTACTGGGGCAGTGCTGGTGATCGAAAGATTCTTCGCAAGTTCTGGGATCGAAAGCACTCTACCTACCGAAAGGATGCCGCTTTCCACGTTTGTATCACTTCCTACCAGCTCGTTGTGTCCGATGTAGCCTACTTCCAGAAGATGCGCTGGCAATACATGATCCTGGACGAAGCCCAGGCTATCAAGAGCTCCTCGAGTTCCCGTTGGAAGAGCTTGTTGGGCTTCCACTGCCGAAACAGACTGCTCCTTACAGGTACTCCGATTCAAAACAACATGCAGGAGTTGTGGGCCTTGCTTCATTTCATCATGCCTTCCCTGTTCGACTCCCATGATGAATTCAGCGAGTGGTTCTCGAAGGATATTGAATCACATGCTCAGAGTAACACGAAACTGAATGAAGATCAGCTGAAGCGTCTGCACATGATTCTGAAGCCCTTTATGCTTCGTCGTGTGAAGAAGCATGTGCAGAAGGAGCTTGGTGACAAGATCGAGAAAGATATCTTCTGTGATCTCACCTACCGTCAACGCGCCTACTATAGTAACCTTCGCAACCAGATCAACATCATGGATCTCGTTGAGAAGGCTACGATGGGTGATGAGCAGGATTCTGGTACACTGATGAACTTGGTGATGCAGTTCCGCAAGGTCTGCAACCATCCTGACCTCTTTGAGCGTGCTGAAGTTACCTCGCCCTTCTCCTTGAGCTATTTCGCGGAAACGGCCTCCTTTGTACGAGAGGGGAATAATATTCCGGTTGCCTACTCGGCACGCAGCGTCATTGACTATGAGCTGCCCTCTCTTGTCTGGACGGAGGGTGGTCGGCTCGAAAAGCCCGGCCAAGACAATATCAAGGCTGGATGGCGCAACTCGGCTCTTGCCCACATGCTGAATATTTATTCGCCAGAGCACATCCGGGAAAGTGCTGACGGGAATAAGGGTTTCTCATGGCTGCGGTTTGCCAATATTAGCCCTGGAGAGGTCTACCAGGCAACTCGTCAAAGTCTGTTTGCCCGTGCCGTGGATGAGCTGCAGAAGACGAACCGCTTAGGTCGGGTCAAGGTCGCATACGATGATCCGGAAGACAAGGGTTATACACCGGCTCACGCTCTTTTCAACATTGTAGAGCGCAATGACCGACAGCCTCTGGTGGAGGTGCTGAACGAGGGCGTGATGGGGACGCTCATGAATGTCGCTAGAGCAGAGTACGATGAGTCTGGCCTTGGCCGCCTGGAGCAGGCCGGTCGACCGCGTGCGTCTGCTCCTCCTGTCACCGTCTCTTGCAACAAGCGCAGTGCCATCACTGAACTGGACAATGTTCTTTTCAACATTCCCATGCGTAAGGCACTGTACGGCCCAGCCCAATGGGAGGAGGAGGCTCTCGTGGAGAGGAAGGTGCCGCTTGAGCTCTACCCCACGAAGCAGACTCTTCCAAAGCCCGATGGCGAGTTGAAGCGGTTCACCAACATTGCCGTTCCCTCTATGCGTCGCTTCGTCACAGACAGCGGCAAGCTTGCTCACTTGGATCAACTGCTCTTCAAACTCAAGAGCGAGGGTCACCGTGTGTTGCTTTACTTCCAGATGACTCGCATGATCGACATGATGGAGGAGTACCTCACATACCGAAACTACAAGTACTGCCGATTAGATGGTTCGACTAAGCTGGAGGATAGACGAGATACGGTGCACGATTTTCAGACCCGACCTGAGATTTTCATCTTCCTACTGTCTACCCGTGCCGGTGGTCTGGGTATCAATCTCACCACTGCCGATACCGTTATCTTCTACGATTCGGATTGGAACCCAACCATCGACTCTCAGGCCATGGACAGAGCTCACAGATTGGGACAGACCAAACAGGTTACAGTCTATCGTCTTATCACCCGCGGAACCATCGAGGAGCGTATCCGAAAGCGTGCTCTTCAGAAGGAAGAAGTCCAGCGTGTCGTCATCCAGGGAGGCGGTGCCAGCGTCGACTTTTCTGGTCGCCGTGCTCCAGAAAACCGCAATCGCGATATTGCCATGTGGCTTGCTGATGACGAGCAAGCCGAAATGATTGAACGCCGCGAGAAGGAGCTCCTTGAATCTGGAGAGCTTGACAAGAAGCCAAAGAAGGGCGGCAAGCGTAAGAAGACTGAGCAGCCCAGTCTGGATGACATGTACCATGAGGGTAAGATATTTTCTGACACGTTTATCAATTTCCATGAGTTTCTAGACCAGTAGCTAACTATATTTTGCTTTTTAGGCGAGGGTCATTTCGACGATGGCAGTAAGCAGCCGGGAGCTTCAGGAACAGCGACTCCTGCTGAAAGCGATACCAAGGGCAAGAAGGGCAAGGGCAAAAGCAGTACGAAGAGGGCCAAGACCACGAAGCAGAGACTAGCCATTGCAGATGGTATGGTCGACATTTAATAGGACGAATTTGGTTACAGCCCCACGGCTGTTGTAATACAGGAACTCTTGGTGAGATAATTTGGAACTGGCATGGGCGAAAACGGCGTCAAAATGAATAACTTGATTTGGGATTTCGAGGACAAGATAAGAGGAGAAGCTCTCCAGTCCCTGAACCGCGTGGGAGTGTTGAACTTGATTTTAAGCCGAGTGGAGAGGGGAGAAGTGTGCATCATGTGGGTGGGATTGAATTGGGGGCTATAGATGTTTCTTTTTTATTCTTTCTTTTCCTTGCGATTTTTTCTTATTGTTCAACATTACCGATGGGAAAGAAAAGGGACTCAAAAAAATTATGGCCAACGTTCCTTGATGATATTGGACTGGCCGTTTTGGTGTATGCTCCGGGGATAGAGGCGCCGAGTGTAGTAGTACCAATAGAGACGCGTGTATCATTTCTAGCATGCCCTGCATCTGTGCCCGATGAAGATAACTCTTTTGATTAAGTGTTCTTGGTGTGGTTTTACAAGCTTAAGACGTCACGGTCAAGTTGGGGTTGAGTGATGTCTTGGTGGCGAACGTTATGCTGGTACATCACGGTTGGCGAAACGGCACCTCACTCCTTGTAGCAGCATGCGAACATCTTTCCTTTTCATGAGATCTTCTTGCTTTTCATTTGAGCTAGCTATCTGTTCGACCGAACTCCTTGTGATATCAAAACGCCGTTCCCTGCATGGTTGATGTGTTAGCTAGCTATTTGAATATTGTGAGCCATGATGCCCTTCCCAGCTTGCCATGTCCCAACCCGTTGTGATACTACCCAGTGCGATGATAACTAAATCAAAACCTTTTTGAGTAGTATGATGATAAATCAAAACTTTTAATGAGAAAATCTTCCAATGGAGGCCATGATGGGCGTCTCTGGATTTTCTGAATGTGTGAATCTAAACCAAACGACTGAACTCTCTGCGTCACTTGCCACCTGCGCTCCTTCGATCATTTCTTCTCCTCTGGCGGTGTAGCGTAGCGAGACTCCTCTTGCTCAGATTCTTCGCCCCATTCGTCCTTGGCGTCTTCCTGGACGGGCTTCTTCGCCTTGCCCTTGGCTTTTTTGCCTGGAGCTGCTGCCTTTCGTGGCTTCTTTTCTCCCTTTGAAGCCTGCTTCGGCTTCTTTTTCTCTTCTTCATCGGGATCATCGGCCAGCAGTGCTTCCTCACATGGCGGGATTCTGACCGGCCCTATCTTGCTTCCATCTGACTCCCAGAACTCCTTCCAGAGATTGATGTCGTCAAGAAGTGAGTGTCGGAGTTTTTGGAACTCGTCAGCGCAATCTGGGGCGTGTTTGGACCCCGAGCAGAGCTGTTTAAGAACCTGATTCTCAATCTTGCCAATATTGTCAACCAGATTAGTGTTCGACTTTTTGTATCGTGCAATGAGTTCCCCTCGGCTCTTAGTTAAGAGCTCCGCGACACTGGCTCCAATAGATGCGATAATTGCATCTCCTTCTTTGACTGCAAACTCGTGCATCGTTTGAATCTGTTTCTTTACCATTCCCTTCCCTGATCACGTATTAGCGGATACAAATAGCGAGGATAAGAGCAACTGCGCCTCACCATGATGCTGAGAAGCTTCAATATAGCCCTTCTTCATTGGCTCATTCATAAATGCCCGGGACTTGAGACGAATTTTGCTGATATCCGCCCTAAATCGAGCTGCGGTCTGAATCATCTCAGACTGATACTCCATTGCCAAGTTGTAGCCTTTATAGGCCACTCGTCCAAATGCCTGTCTATACTCTAGTGGTAAGCTCTCAAGGTTGCAGGTCGCATGCAAGTTATGGGAGACGCTTTGACCAGCCCTCTTGGCTAGAGTTCCGAAGTATGCAGAAAGCTTCTTGGTGAAGGCAAGATTCCAGACATGCGCCTTCTTGGCCCAGTAGTGACCGTACCTACGAAGAATCGAGAATGTTAGAGGTACATCGATCTATGTACTAAGCCACCATGCAAATTGGCCGTACATGGGAATAATAGGAACTCACAATCTTGCCTCCCAGCAATGTGTCTTTCGTGGTTTGTGTGATGTGCGAAATTGGCGTCCCTGGCGACGAATGCATGCCGCATAGGTACTCCAATGAAGCCTGGAATCATCGATATCCTTTTGGAACCTGTCGATAAGGTTGGAAAACCCGTTGATGGCAGGATCATCTGCCACGTTTTTGATGGCTCTATAAGGTTCCAGCCTCCCCATAAACTTCGGCAAATTTACCTCGGATCTTTTAAGGTCCTACTCGACAAAAAGAGCCTAAGTCAGTATCAGAAGAGGTGGCTTCGCTCAATATGTAAACTTACAGCTTTTAGTTTGAGGGATACTTCCTTCAACACTTGTTCAATCTCCGGTTTAGATGCCCGAGGCAACTGGAATGGAGCTCTAGGTTTGTCTACAGCCCACTCTTCGATCGCATCAAAGGAGACTTTGCATCGGTAAAGGATATTGTCAGCTTGGATTTCTCTGCTTGAGAGAGTGGCTTGGACAATCCAATCTTCTAAAGCACTGAATCCCGTTGCTGTGCTATCGGGGAAGCCATCCATGGAGTTCTTTCTTGCGAGGTTCTGCTGAGCTTTACTGCTGACAGGAAAGACGGACAACACAGTAGAAGCCTCCCGAGTTTGACGAGCAGAGTTGCGGACTTGATCGAAGTAGGTCTGGAGAGCCTCCACGCTACCCTTGGATCGTGACTGGATGCAAGCCATCAAACAGCGGTTGTACAATTTCTTGACCTCGCCCTCTAGAACGTGGCGTAGATTCATCGCTTGGGTCAGCTCAGAGGAAGGCTGGGAGGAATCTTGGATCGCACGCTTTGAAGAGCAATTCCCAGAAATAGGCTCAGAGAACCCACTATCTTCAGCCTTGAGAGAGACTATTTTTTCCTGTAAATCTCTCAACCGTTCAGACTTCTCCTCGTAGAGATCTCTGTCCGAGGTAAAAGATGGGCTGATAGAGTCTGGGTCTGCCTCTGTATTGACATATTTTTCCCAGTCGAGTTGATCAACCTTGGTGATGATGATAGCAATCGAGTCATCATCGAGCTTGCCACTTGCTTCCAAATCGTAGATTTGGTCTGCGCAGATAAGTTCCGTGGCAGTTCGGTTGTCTTGGGCTCTGTCAGCCGGAGTGACTATGAGCATCTTGTCGAGCTTGTCGTAATATCCTCTAGCAACCTGCGAGCGGGAATCCAGAGCATCCATTTGGCCAGGTAGATCAACCAAGACTAAGCCTGGGCATCTGGAGAGAAGCGGAGACTCAAGCCAGATTCTGACGAGCTCGACCAGTGGCCACCGGAGTTGTCCTCGCTTTGCATTCGAAACAGAGCCCACAAAGGGTGTCACTTCCCGCAAGAACTTTTGAGGGGTATCTGCGTTGATTTGTTTCTGCTTAGCCTTGTTGGGCTCAGAAAGGTTGAAAAACATTTTCGCACTCTCGCAACAGCTAGTGATCTGGTCAATTTGATCTGATAAGCCAAGCTCCTTTACCTGAGCAGGACTGAACCCCGACCACCCGCTAATGACCTTGATTTGCTCTTGGAAACGGACTTCTTCATTTCTTGTAATCTCGTCTGGGCCTTCCACTTCCACTCGATCGCGGAGATCTTTCATTTCTTGGAACATTGATGCGAGTTCTTGTTCAACGGCTTCCTTGCTCTTGAATGTGACTTTGGCAATGAATTTCGGTTTACCGTCCTCCACATAGTGATTGTGGAAGCAACAGACTGCCGCGGTGCAGGCGGCCTGCTGGGAACTTGGTGCGATGTCTATTGTATCACCAATCAGGGTGTTGAGTAGCATCGTCTTTCCCAGGCCTGTGTCGCCGCCTTTGAAAAGTTAGCATTGAGAACTATTGTCTCGAAAATAGCATGAGAGAGTAGCGAATGAACTTACAGATACCAATATAAGTAAAGAATTTCTCGTAGTCTTGCTCAATGCCTTCTTTATGGATAACGTTAGCATTTACTCAACATGGTGATGTAGGTGGATAGTGATGAAGTCCTTACCGTATGTGGAGTTCCAAGTAGACAAGTCAATATCTGAGGGCTCGGACTTTCTCGCGGTGATCTTTTCTGAGATAGATGCCAACCTTTCGAAGAGTCGTAGAACAGCATCCTCCTTCTTTTTGACCACATCCTCATGGCTCATCTCTGGGTGTGCCGGATTTGGTGCCTCCGGAGGAGGCCTGTCGCCCGACATGATGAGGGACGTGACGAGCTAGAACTGGGAGATCTAGGCTTCAAAAGACCATTCAATGTAACACTGGTGGTTGTCGAACGATCTCTCCAGTACTGAATTGTGAGTTGCTTCCACAAGCAAGAGTGTGGCACACTCCGTTAGATATTGGAAGAGGCAATGAAGTAAGCTAGGCTGGGCAAAGGATGATGTGGAGATTGAATTTGGAGACTGGGGGAGAAAGCTGAGGTTGATGAGAGATGAAAGTGAGAAGCCGGAGGAAGAGAAGAGAGGTGGTTTTATACTGCAACTGAGGCCAGTGGCCGCCTGAGGAATCCAACAGGCAAGAGAAGGAGCCACCCGGGGAAATTCTCAGAAGAAAGTGAAAAGGTTCTGAAGGATGCAGGAAAAAGTGAAAGAAGTGTGGCCAACCTCCGGCTTCAGAGGAGACACGGCAGGCGATGCGACTCAACTCGACTCGACGGCCTCCAGTCACTGGGAATGGAAATGAAACCTGGGCTACGAATATAAGGTGTTGGAGTAATATACGACGTTGAGTTTTAGCTGTCAAGATACTTGAGCTTCCACGGCGCTTCTCGGAATCTGAGACTGATGCAGGACTTTATAGAGGAACCTCTCGTTGTAGGAATAAAAATGGCCTTACGTCGTTGACACAGGCGGATTCAAGTTGAGAATATGAGATCATTCTCCTCCTTTGCTCTTCTAACTAACCACAGAGGTGAGACGCATAAAACTTATGCTCAGAATCTGATCTGAACAATGAGACGACTTTTGACACTCTAGCTACTTACCTGAAAGAAGCTCTTGTCTAGATTGCCTTTGCCCTCCGGCACACCCGCAGAACCTCAGACGACATCCCGTAAGGCTTATGAAACCGAAAAAAAAACACTATAAGGATCGGAGAAAAAGTAACAGACGCAACCCAAACTACCGGCTCGTCCGCTCCTCAACAGGTGCCTGAGATCGCGTGTGACGACTCATGCTTGGAACCAGTTGAGTACATATCCCCCTTCTGCTGCTCACCCACCAATGTAAAGGCACTCCCTAAGCTCTCCCCTCCAAGTTGCAGCCCAGAGACACTCCGTAGATAGAAAGCGCGGGCTTTGTCTTCGCTCCCGTTCAACGCTCCTCCTAGGCACAGGTCAAACCATAGCATCTTGCTTCTCACGCCAAGCAACCAAGACATCGGCAATGGCTGCAGTTTGTTTCGCTACAGCCGTGAGTCCCCTGTGCTTTTCAATCCAGGTGTTGATCCTCGGAGGATGCGTTTAGGCTACCAACAGATCGGGGGAACTCGATCCTCGGCTCAAATCTTTAGCATGTTTTAGATCTTGCGGCTCAGCTACCTCTTCAGTTATGTGATCCTCGATGACAAAACTTGACGACGGATTCAAGAAGGCAACAGAGGAAGAGATGGGGAGCATGCCGACGGCGGCGAACTAGAACCAGCACATCCCTCCACATAAGGCTGGCTTTAAGTGAACTAAGGGCTGGTTGGTATTTGATGGTCGAATGTGCGGGCCAAACATGTTCCACACAGGAACTGAAGAGAAAGGACAAAACAACAGGGCTGGCCTTCGATTTTTCGATGGGAGATCGGACAGCTCAAGATTCCATATACTAAAAGAACTACATAAAAGGCTCTATAAGAAAGAACTTGCCACACAATGCCCTGCTCAAAACCTTGCGCCACGCATGATTGATTCGCCCGTCTTGCGGGCTCAACGTCGCTCTTAGGCCTCAGAATCACTTGCGCCCTCGACGAGACGCTCGTCTGGCAGCATGATGGCTCGGTCAAGCTCATACGGTAGCCCACGATGACGTCCTCGAATCATCATGATGCATATCACAACTTTCCCGAATGGAGTAAATTTCCCACAAAGGGATACGTTGACATTGGGATACCCAAGGCTCAGGCCGACATTGGCGCTAGAGATAACCGTTAGCATTCCGGCAAAAGGAAATGAACATGGGGTGGATTATTACTATGCAGACGTGACTTCGAAAAGTATAGAAAACAAGTTGAAGGCCTGTAGGTAAGAGGATCAGTCAATCTGGTTCTTGCGTAACAGCCGCATCCACACGTTGGGAGAAGCTTACCGGATCAGCCCCGTCCATGATCCTATCGGATTCTGCAATGGAGATGCAGAAAACTCCCAAAAATATGTACCACAAGTCAAAGCTGAGTTGGTTCTGCATGTGCTTCAAAAGATACGATGGGCCAGTGCTTTCAGACTCGTCCACCTCAATCTCGGGAGGCTCATAGATCCCGAGCGACCGTTCCTCGTACGTGTTTGACGCTCGTATGCTGATGGCCAAAGGGAATACGGATATATACATCATGACCAGAAGACTGAGCTGAACAGCTGGATTGACATCCGAGAGAACAAACGTCGACGTGCCGGTGTGGCGGGACGAGGCAGCCTGAAAAATCGCAGCGAGAATGCGCTGGCCGACCGGCAGTACGGCAACGGCGGGATTGGACAGGTCAAGCACAATGATGAGGAGCGTGTCCACGAAATTGAGCACAAAAAGAATGCCGAAGAGGACCCAGGTCTGCTTGCTGGGGAAGAGTAGAGTGTAGCATCGTCGTGGATGCTCCAGGAGGAAGTTGAGAGGTTCCTGGATGGCCGAGTTTCTTGGGAGGACCTTTGACATAGTCCATATCGAGAGTCGCAAGAAGATGGGGTAGCAGGTGTTGCCAGCAAATGCGAGAAAGCTCATAATGACCATTGGCCATTCTGCGTCTCTGAAGCTGACCATCGAGTCTGGAGTGAGTGTGAGGCCTAGGTTGTTGAACATGGTTTGTGCAGAGTAAAAGGCCCTGCGTAGTTTAGCCAGAGTCCTACAATCCGGTTCTCACCGCAGAAGGGCGCGATTATCACTCACCACCAAGTTTCAGACACCGCGCACTCCTTCAAATAGTCCCTGTACTTGGCATCCGAATACTTGATCCATGGAAGTAGACAAATGGCGCCGAAGAGATGCAGACCGAAAAAGTAAGCTAATATAGGCAGTCAGTAAACCAGACCTGCTAAGCAATTCAGGTGGCAACTCACTGATGACGATTTTCAGAAGGAGTTTCAAGCTTCTATATTCGATACCCCCGAGTATTTCCCTGTCTTCCGAGGTCAAGTTCACGAACAAGGAGTTTCGACCGATAGTTGCTTGATTTGAAAGATATGGCAGGCTATTGAGGGCGGGCTGTTGGAAAGAGATGGAATTTCGTCGTTCTCGAGGGGGGTTGTCTCGTCCAATGACAAACATGGATGAAGCAAATGTAGCGACACGATCAACTGAGCGTGCCTCGGCAAGTCTAGAGCCTTCTGTAATACGGCGCCGTAAACCAGGTCGCAGACTCACTCCAGAGATAGCGTCTGGGTCTCGCTCTAGAACAAGAGACTTAGACATTAACACACGTAATCACTCCGTTGCATATGGGTTAGCTGCTCGTTTCATACCGTCATAGCTTCGTGAAAGAGTATTGTTCAGCTCAATCAAAGGATAGCCTCGGTCACGGTCACGAGGCCCGGGAATATAAAGCGTTACATCATTCTTCGGCCGATGGTCCACGGAAGGATCAAAACTGATGTGGGCACGAGGTTGGGAAGGCTTTTCGTTGTCGATCCGACTTTCCTCGACATCCTTATCCTGGCCTGTGGCTAGAGGAAGAGTAGGAGGTGGCGAGGACTTTCGTTCGGTCACCGTGTTTTCAATCGCACCTTCATCTTGTGTTGTAGGCTCACTGGAGACTCTTGGCTCCGAAGGTGAAGCAGAGCCTGGCGGTGGTGAGGTGAGTGGCACACGTCCAATGATTTCGACATCTCTTGCTCCCTGATTGAAATCTGTATTTCTTCTGGCTGAAAGTAGATCTGGAGCTCTTTTTTTCAAATGCTTTCTGAACCACCAGAGACGTACTATCACAACGATGATGTTAATGAAGCCAATGTTGGTGACGGTCGGCAGAAAATAAAGGTACAGCTGCTGATAAGTTTTCAGCTCTTTCAGGTCCACACTGTTCGGCGACAGCGAGTGCAGATTGTTAGAAGCTTCCAAAATGATCCTTCGTGTGGCTTGCTACGTACGTATTCAGACCGGATTCGGTGGTAGCGCTGACTCCAAAGTGGTAGGTGTCAACAGCGCTGAGGGTGCCATCTGGGTAGAGAATGGGAAATGACAGCAGGCCAAGCAGAATGATATATGTATCTGTTTATATCTCCGTCGTCAGTTATTAGGGGCCCGACTGTTTACTTCAGTATAACATGTCCTAATGACAGTGGTGGACTCACAGTGTAAAGACACGAAGTTTATTGGTGGACGCCACATCCCACACAGACCTGAATCAAGAGCCAGGGAACTGCGAGTTGTGAAGGTGAGGGAGTCAGACGGAACGTGAGACTAGAACGTGTACGGCGCTCGAATAAGCCCGGCAAGAATCAACAGAGGCCGGCAAGAATCAACAGAGGCCGGCAATGAGAAAGGGTAGCGTCCTTGCTTGGCCTGGGAGGCCTCTGAATCGATCAAGGTGATGATATGATGTTCTTTTGAAGCAGGCCTTTGAGGATTGTGAGAATTCTAGCAATGGCTATAATCAAATATCTCGGGCGAAAAGGAGAAACATCTCATGATCAACTGGTCGACACATGGGATCCGACGATGCACAGCCTCGCATGATCAGTCATATTTCTCTACCACCCACTTCACCCTCCAGGTAAGACAAAGACCGGCTAATCGCGCATAATCAGTACTGTCATTGCCGGAGTGGCCCGGACACCGGGGACTGGAGCCCAAATTAGGTGGCCTTTCCTTTCCCTTGGGCTGGGACGGTGCGTGATTGTGTATCCGGGATCAGCGTCGCAGTAGTCGGGTAGTAGGAGGCCTCTTGACACTGGGGCTGAGAGAGCACCAGCATCAACCACAACGACCTCCAATTAAAGCCGGTTCGAATCGTATAAGGTATATGCATGTACAATAGCTACTAGATAAGCTTGCAGGTTGTCGCTGCCGGCTACGCTCTAGGAGCCGGGAAGAACCCGCATATTTCAAGCTTAAGTTCTTGGTTCTCGAAAATAGGTGTGGCTGTTAGCTAGCAAAGTCAGTACGCAAGTGACGGCAAGCTTTCACTGGCATAGGAAAAAGAAACAGAAAGCGACCGTGGATGAGCAATAATCGCATGCCTGGTTTCTTTATATTAGATACTTCTATCCCCCCAAATCAGTTTCCAGAGTAAAGCGCAAGCCGAAGCCAACGACGAGGTTAGTCCTTTCTCTTCTTCATGTCTTGAACTGAGCGGTTGACACGCTCGATTTCCTCTTTGGCACCATCCCACTTCTTGCGCTTCCCGTCAAAGAGACGCAAGATATGTGGTGTAAAAATGCCATCCACCAGCATACTGTAGAGTCGTCGGTTCTGGAACCAAAACTTCCACCCTGCCAATCCCCATCCAAGCCGCTCGTTCAGACCGGTCCCTGCCACGTCGTTGGCCCAAGCCAGCCACTCTTTTTGGTTTACCCACCCCGGATGGGCACTGCCGGTCTTAGCGATTTGGATAGTCATCTTGTGCTGTGCGTCAACAGCCAGATTCATCTCTTCGGTTGAAGGCAGGGCAGAAGTGCCTTTCCATATTTGCGCAATAGACATCGTGGCCAGGTCGTATAGAGGGAATGCCCCAGTTGCAAAGGCTACACAGCCGAGGAAGGCTAATGATTGAGGATGGTCCAGAGAGAAGACGTTTCTATATAAGCGGGGGAGTGGTTTACCCCTGGATCCTAAGGCTGCCTCCCATTCTGGCGACGTGCTACGGGTTGGGTCGACCGCGGCGTCTAGGAGCTTGAAGGTGTGTTTATACCCAGTGCACCAAATAATAGTGTCGACATCGACGTTTGTGCCATCATCCATCTCGATTTCGTTAGGCCCTAGTACCTGTTTGACACCATGGCTGATTGGTTGCACCTTGCCACTTCGGAAAAGGTCAACGATGTTGTCAGAAATAACTGGCAGGGCGTTCCTGATTGACGGCGCTGGAATGATGCGCCACTTGGGGTCGAATCTGAAGGCTGAACTCGACATTTTCCCTAAGCCCTTATCCGTCATGAACTCGAACACTGAAGGGAAGTTGGTCTCTAGAAATCCGAGGATATTGATCTTGCGAAGCGTCATGGAATGATCGAACGGCACTCCGGCCACCTTCCTGGGCAACTGTAGATGTCTATGTGTTAGTCCTTTCAGTAGACAAGGTAGAACCATTGGGACTCATAGGTAAATGGATTGGCCAACGAACAATGACTGCCCCATGCCTATACGATAGATAGATTTTATCAGCGCTCCCAACAAGAGCTGCTGCAGTGTCCACGCCAGTACTTCCCAATCCAACAACCAGCACTTTCTTCCCCTTGAAGTCTTCTGGCCTATCATCGGGGCGTTAGTGAACCGAGTCTGAGGATGTTCCAAAAGTGAGGTTTGGACAAACCTCTTGAAGGAACGCGAGTGGACGCTGTTTCCCGAAAACTTGTCTATGTTTGGGAGATCGGGAATCTGGGGCTCCTGTTGCGCACCCGTCGCGATGACCACTTTATCGAAGAAGAGGGGTTCTGAGCCTTCAACCAGTAACTTCCATCGACCGGCTTCCTCGTCCCGAATGACCTTTTGGATGTTGGTACCAAGCCGTAATCTAGTTGCCAGCCCGAAGTGCTCAACATAGCTCTCCAAATAATCCTGGACATCTCGAGCAGTACAATGACTTGGGGCATCTTGAGGGAAAGGAAAATCGGTATAGCATCCTCGTTCTTTAGAAATGTTGATAACCGTTGCTAACGATGCCTATTAGCTGGGGCCCGGATGAGGGATACTGAGAACAAGGGCAAGGTTGTCTCACTTGGCAGAACCGATGTCCTGTCCTCCTCCGAGAAGTGCCACAGGCCACCGACAAACGGGCTACGCTCGAAACCAACGACATTGAAACCCTCCTCGGCGAGATTTTTCACAGCCACCAAACCCAAAACCCCTTATGGATAGGTGTCAGTAATGTCACAACGCGCTTGCATCAAATGATGCCTGGAAGATATTGCGCATCCTACCAAGTCCAACAACGGCAACAGACGGGGCGTCTTGTGCCATGATTTAAAATGTAATAGAGAAGATAGGAAACGCTGGCCTGTTATAGACAAGTACAAGAGTAGAGCCTTTGCTTAACCGTGATATGAAACGTGTTGCTTGCGGAGAAATTGTCTCAGTGGCTAGGCACCATCAGTGGGCGAGCTAAGCCGAGGATGTGGCTTTGTATATATTGTGATGAAGAAGCCAACATGGGCGGATGCTTCATGAGACACAAGAGGAAAGGAGGCTGATATAAATGGCTGAACGAGGCCACCGCTCCCGAATAGAGCTCACACGACAGATACGTGGGCTGCTCAGCGAGGGAGCCTAATAAAGGCTGACTTCATGTACCCACCAGGTAGCCTTGATGGCCACTTCGAGGGGTGAGACCCATTGATTCATGCGGTATGACCAGCTCGAGACTTGTCATGCAAGCCGCGTGGTGCGGCTGAATTTTTAGCGTTTAGGTTAAATGGTCCTTGTGCGGCGTGCCTCACTGGCCGAGAATTATCCTCATTGGCTGACTTCCAGGCAGAAATTCTACTAGAAGCCTGTGCTGATGGCCTGAGTGCTGATGATTTTCATGATAAAGACGATAGGCTTGAGCGGCTGGTAGACTCGCCCAATTACTACCCCGTTGAAGGAGGACTGTGAAGGTCTCATCGGCAATAGAACAGGGGTAGTCGAAAGGTGGTGGGGCATGATCTTATCAATCTGATCGTTGCAGTCAAGGTCTCGTCAGTGGAAGTCTCGACATGCTTGGCTATGCCTGCTCGGACGAACAATCTAGCCGGTCCTACTTCTGTTAGCTTGTATTCTAGGGACGCCGGCCTGACGGGAAGATTGCGTCTCCGATGAGCCTACCCTTTTCTCCATCCTATACCCCCTGACATGCCATGCGCTTCTCTGTGCCATTTATAAATGGAGCTTGTGGATCGAGGGGTCTTGCATGTTTCTAGGCACTAATTCTGAGTACGAGGCTCCCAAACTGGATTCCCTCGTCGGATGATCTCGCCGGGTGCTCGAGTGCCGTATGCAGGTGTCGGGATATATGAAGGTGGTCGTCAAACTGGCCGAGCCGTCAGATCGTATTCGTCGTTCTTATGCTCGGCCCATGGGTCTTGATAGATTCTAACCCAGCCTGAAATGTCTCCACAGAGCCGCTCAAGTCGGGATTCTCGTCAACATGCCCGCGAGATTCAAGGACTGGGTGATCGTCGACGACGTGAAAAGGAAAAAATTGCCGAATCGGGTTGGCAATAGGATCGTTCTGCCTAGTAACTCAACCGCATTAGCAAATCATCCGAGCAGATCAAGCCTTGGGCTACTACTTATCATGAAAATTATAGGAGCAGCCTTGGGTCAATCATTATGCCTGAGGTCTTGCTCCGGGTAGACACATACCCATTCGCCCATGAAGTTGGTGTCTTCATTGAGAAGATCAACGAGTCGTTCTTCACCTGTGCTCAATTAAAGGATTCCAGTGACTGAAAGACGGCCCAATTCTCGAGGATTGCTTTTGGCAATGGAATGAAACACGCTATTTAGGAGTGATTCTCCTGTGCTGGATCTAAATGGGCAATAGCGGAGTAAACTAGCAGGATGGCATCCTTTTCTGCAGCCAGGGATCTCTGAGTAAACCGAGTGGCCTGGTTGAAATAGAAGCTGATGAGCCTCGCCACGAGCTATCTCGGTGACCTTTCCACTCTGTGAATGATGTTGCTATCCACATCGATGGCAGCATCTGTTCACAGACCTAAATGCGGTCTCGAGCAAGACTTTCGCCCTAGACTGAATCTGTCGGCCGCTGTGTACCAATTTGGCCTTAGAACAAAGGCATTAGATCTGTGGCAGATAGTTTTGGAAATCCTAACGGCACCTACTTTTCACCTGACGAGAAGACGGTCTGTATTGCCGACACAGATCAGCAACACGGCCATTCGGTCAATTGTAGTCCGATAGCCTCCATACAAGATGAATCTATCTATGTACTTACCAACAAACTTTTCAAGCTGGATGGGTGTTGCACACACACGATAAACGCTGGTTTCGTTGGCGCTATGAACCCGACGGAAAGTACTACCATGATCAGCCCTTTCTTACCAGCCATCGTTTATTTCCACTCGCCAACACAGCAATGCCTGGTAAAATCAAGTGTACCAAATATGGAAACGCGTACAGCAGATGTGGCGATGGAATAAACGTGTGGTCGGCTGGTGGCGTGTTGCTCGGCAAAGCGCTCGTCCCGAGGGAAGCCGTCAACTTTTGTTCTCATCGAGACGAAGAGAAGTTCGCCCTGAAAGATCATCGAATCTGAAAAACCAAGGTCAATTTGAACACAAAGGATGCTTTTTTTTGGGATTGGCCAGGTAAAGATGTCGACGAGTCAGCAGGCAAGTGCGTCGACGGGAAGGAAGTGCACCTTATCCGGCAAGTAAGGAAGGATCGAGCGAAGAAAAAAGAGAAAAAGTCAGCCAACAGAATCAAGACACCCAGCTCTAGGTTAGAATGCCTCAATTTGTAGTGCAACAGTCATAATTCCCAAGAAAAAGAGAAGTGTGCTTTTGCTTTCCTGTTGTTGCATGAGCACAAAGTAGCACGACCCACCTGGAGGGCTCAGGACTGACGCCTGGGCTCATCTCTCCTTGTGCAGCCCGCCACTGTCAAGTTTTCTGCACTGGCAATTCCTCTACTGCCCACTAGGATCTGACCTTTGCTACGAAAGACACTCATCTGCCCATTGTACCTTTTCAAATTTACTCTCTTCTTCCATGGCATGCTCGCTTGTTTGAACACCACGAACTCCTCGTTGACTTATGCATCATCTGCCTAAGCCCTCTGCATCTTCTATTCACCATCATATGCCCCATGCAATATTTCCTCGTGAACTCTGCTCCCTTGTAGAAGTAATCCGTTCTTATTCCTACCCATCCTGCGGAAGGGGTGTGGCTGCCCACCACCAAAAGCATCAGCATTTTATTTCTTGCTGCCCAAAATGCAAGCATTGTCATGTCTCTTACGAGTGCCTCAAAGTCTAGATATGGAAGGAAACACGCGTTGAACCCATCTCGGCTAGTCCTCTCCATCCAGGATTTTGAATGCTCCTCCTCTTAAGGTGACGTACGAAAGGAAGTGAAGCTGGTGGCTTCAAACTAACGCCATTCTTTTCTAGAAACCGGTATGAGCCTACATTTGCTACGCTCGAGTTTCTTTCGACGCCTCAAATCGTGAGAGGGATGGTGATACCATCTGCCAGAGATTCGAATTCGCCTCCGAAGGCACACCAGCCATGAACTTCGAACAAAATCCCCGCGCCATTGGCCTCCTATCCACTTGGAACAAGATCTCTCCTAGTAGAAAGAATCGTCGAGTTCCTCATTTTCTTCTTTCTGATGGCTTACTCGAGGATACAACGTCGAACCTGCGGAGGTGCCATCTCGGTTGGTCATTTACCAAAAGGAACCTTCTCTCCTCACTCTCGACTACAGGTACTTGCAGGAATGGTTTGAATGATTCAGATTAAGCTTTGTGGCCTCTTGGACAATATTGACTGTTATATTTAGTGATGTCAAATCAGTTCCTTCTGTTGACAATCCCAGGACGACGATGATCATACGCCCCTCTTACCGATGACAAATTCTGATACATGGCCAATACCCTGGACTCTAAGTCTATTTCATTCTGGTGAGCCAATGCTCTTAAATTTCCCCTCGGCGTGACGCAGGCAGTTAACCCCTATTTCTAGGCTATTTTCCCACACCGCCCGGCTCTAAATCCGAAACTGTACCGCTGCCGAACCATTGCCCATTGCTACAACTTTCGACCTATTCGAGTCCCTGCCCCTTCGTCGTCGACTCCGAACGTGATAGATAGATCGAATATCGTTAATAGGATGGCATAAGGAATGTGTCTTGAGGCACATTTCTAGTAACTACCAAGTTCGAAGGAACCAAACGCATCACCGCATATCATACTTCTCAAAGACCCCTTTCAGAGATGCTCGGAGGGAAAGTATTAGCAGATCCATGATCTCAAAGTACCGGCTTTTCCAGTAACCTGTTTACGACACACAGATCCGTAGTTGGCCACCAAGCATCAACGGTAAATTTATCAACCTCGTGCACCTCTCGGTACAGGTCAGCTCTAAGAAAGAAAACCTTCCACTCCTACGAGGTCTCTGAAAGATACATCAGAAGGGCGGCCCAAGAAGCTGAAGGTCAGTGACAAACTCCTCTCAATATGTTCACTTTGGACTTCTTCACCCAAGGACGAAGCATTGCACAGTAAATTAAGAGTTGGGGCTTCAATTTTTTTGTGATTTAGAAGCTGAGGCTGACTAAAGAATGCCGCCTAAGAATCATTGACTGGTTCCCTTTTTGTGCTCGATCTCATCTCCTTCTCACCATAAAACCCTCCTTTAATGACCAGATTTCCCCGATGCCTTTCCCCCATAGACCCCAGATTGCCCTGCTTCCCTTCTCCAGGCTCCCTCCTCTCCTCTTCTCCACACTTCGTCAAAAAAAGAAAGGTACAAAAATTGAAAATAAAAAAGAAAAGAGGTGAAGTGGTAAAACAACAAGTAAAACAGACAAAAGCTTCATTACCTTTCTGTTTGATTTTGGCCGAGTATGGCTGTCTGAGAAAGATGTTAGTCAGATTGCCTAGAAAAGTGAGGGCAGAGAGAATACTTACAAACTTGATGGATGAAGGTAGCCACCACGGAACCAGGGTTCAATATCGATCCTTCGAAAGAAGAATGCAGTGTTCTGTGAAGGAGTTAGCCGAGGTAGAGCTGGGAATGTCTGAGACTTGATCACTAACCTTGAAGAATATTGGCAACAGCCACCATGATTTGAATCTTTGGACTTTGGAGAGACTCTTGAAAAGCACCTATTTATCTGATTAGCGTGGTACAATCTGAGGGGATGGGATGGGATGGGAATGGAGTTTCGGCCACAGCTAGCCTCACTGATACCCTGAGAAGGTCAGCGACCTTTGGAAGTCTGAACCTGTCTAGACACTTGATTAGCGTGGTACAATCTGAGGGGAAGGAATGGGATGGGAGTGGATTTTCGGCCACAGCTAGCCTCACTGATACCCTGAGAAGGTCAGCGACCTTTGGTGAAGTCACCTAGTCACTTGATTAGTGAAGTGCAAACAGGGGACGTGGAGATAGGGTGGTTTGTAGTTATCCGTGGCTTGTGAAGCCGAGATGAATAGTTGGTATGGTTGGAAAAGTAGAAGTCTCATTGTGTTTTATGTTATCTAGAGAGACACTTGGTTAGCAAAAATCTGAACATGAAGGGATGATGTGTTTGAATGAGAAGAAGAAGAGGATGATGATGATGATTCCATCAAGGTAAGAGGCTTGCTTGACGAAGGATGACTGCGTGATCTGAAGAACAAGAAAGAAGTGGAAGGGGAGATGAGTGTGTGGAAGAAGGAAGAAAGAGTTCAGGTTGGAGAGGAGGGAAGGAGAGTATTTATATGTCCCCACCCGACCACAGGCAGAAAATCCGAGCTACTGAGCTCAGAATAATCTCATTGTCGCCTCACCTTGAATGGAAAGGGAAATGGGGAGAGGAATAGAAAAGGCAGACGCACAATACTCGAGGTGAGTCCAGGAGGGGGGCTGACCTGCGTACCTCAGGACCCCAACAATAACCCGGCTCACCTGATCCTACGCCTTCCTGATTACGGGAAACTGCACCAAATCATCACCTACAATGAAAAGCTAAATTGTCAACTGATTAGAATACATATCAAGATCATTGAGATGACTAGCTGATTCTATTCAGCGCTGGTCATAGTATGCTGGTCAAGGTCACGCCCTTCGCAATCTGACGATGGAGGCCTCGAAGTGGGTCTTGCATTTATCACTGAATAATACTTTCGTTGTGTGAATCCAACATCTTACGCATACCTTTGAGAGTTTGGCTGCCTGGGTAAATTTAAGTGACGTTGACGATGAGCAGTTGTGGGCTGCCAGCTCTTTCTCGGCAGGCCCAGCCACCTCCCTGACCTTGCGGTCTCTTTCTTAGAATTTGTGAGCAGAGCAGTCCTGTAATAAGCTTAGAGCTAGTAGCTTAGAGGGTAATGTCTACTGGTAGTGAAGCGGGTGGGCAAATTGGAACTGGGTTGGCCTTATGCCAGGACCGCCAGCTGTGGCCAGCCACCCCAACGGCTTCTTGCTACCTAAAAGTGTGAGCCATGCAAAGGTTCTTGCCAAATACCATAATACCATGCTACATGTGCCATGCACCGTCTTCTAGATCTTGCTCGAAAAAAAATCATGTTGTTTGTAGGCTGAAGCAGATCAACACTAGCCAAGTCCCGACGCCCAGCCATGGATCTGAATTCGTAAAGAAGAAAAACACAGGCAGCTAAGTACAATCTCCATTCCCCTACGTTAATCAACGTACATGGGTCGAAATATGTAACGCAAACCGACATAGCCCTATTTGCTCCTCGAACCTAGTCCTCGAACGGATCAACCCACGAGCCTCTCTCCTCGGAGATCTCAGCTACTGCGCGCTTGGAGGCTGTAGAGATCATCGTTGCACATTTACTGCGCACTGAGCTCAAGTGCATGTACAGAACACACTTCTTCCCTCCTCCCTCACACCGGGCCTGAACGCCAACCAGACGCCGCATCGACCTGTAGCTTTTGAACAAGGCAATACTCTTGCCATCAGGACTCTTGCTATCGGATGGTCCAATGGAAATGGCCGGATGTTCATTCTCCCATGCTCGGCGAGCTCTGAGAAAAGATATAACGCATGTTTTGTTACAGAAAAGGGTAGGAGGGTCACTGCGAGCCTGACCTAGCAAAAACCTCAGTTTTTCCAATAACACGTCAAACAATCGATACCGAATATGGTCGACGACATCTTCACCGCATTATCTCGTCAGCACATCCGAGTCAAAAAAGAAAGCTCATGGAGGAGATAGAGGAGAGAAAACTTACCAAGTAAATTGGTGCTGATCGGTAGGTTGTACGGATCGAAAGGGCAATTGCTTTCGCGGACGAGTGTGGAAAACACCTTCTGGACCAGATCCACGTCCTTGAAGACACAAGCAATCGTCGCATATTTCCTGAGGGAGTGAGACATTTTCATTTTGTTCGGGCGTTGCATTCCCAAGGCCAAGGTGAGGGGGGCTGTCGTTCTCCTCAACTCGTCATGGCATCCATAATACTCTAGCATCAGAGCTAGTTCGAAATCCGTATGAAGGTAATCTCGGGATGGAGGTAGCCTGCTCAACTCCTCAAAAGAGATGTTATGTTCGGCGTGTATAGCCGTCATGAGAATCATCATGGCTCTCTCATCCCATCCACAGGCCGAGACGACGTTCAACATCCTCCTCGTACCTCCCAGGCCGCTTTCACATTCGATGCTAACGTCCATGATCGGTATATTACGAGAGAATTGACGCTCAAAATACTTCGTAGCCGATCGAAGCTTGTCCATTGAAACCAGGAGGTTGGTTTTCGTTTTGAGACTTGGGTATGAATCCACCTGAGCAGCTCGTTGCCACCGAGTACACTCTCTTCTCGCAGCACCCTCGGAGCTTCGGTTACGTTCATGCTTGAGATCTTCGAAAACGTAGTAAGCATACTCCTTTTCATCAGGTGTAATGCAGAGGGGGGAGTCTGGGAGCTCCAGCTCCAGGACCGTATCCCCATCGTGGTCTTGTTCTTGCACCATCAGTGAAACTGCGGAAGCTACTTGATGGTATTGAAACGCCGGCTGGATTCTTGGTGGTAGATTGCGCCTTTGAACCATTTGGCCATACATCTTGGAATGGTTTTGAGGCGGCCTGACGTTATTATAGTAAACAGAATGTGAAATAGCGAGCTTCCGGACGAAATTCAGTCTGATGACTACTCCAAAGATGCAGAAAGTAATACAACGAAGGGTTTTGAAAGGGCTGGCCGAGGGGGGTTTAATTATTTAAGGGCTGAGGGATATGCACGTTACTGTTACTGTTACTGTTCATCGCTCAGGCCTTGCTGTACGACGTGATTAGTGCCAAGAAAGACAAAGTAAATGTTGGGCAGATAAACGCATACCTTCTCCAAATACCACATTTGCTAAGTAACTACATACCATAGAGTGTTCTCGGTTACTTGCAGCTGTGTCCCTACCCCCGGAAGAAAAAGGAGGAGTATGCGCCAAGAACCATATCGAAACATCAATACAGTTAGCAAATAATACAAAGGAATGGCATTTCATAGTTGGTTTTGTTCGGATCTAAGTACTCGCATTACAAAACGGCATAATTTTGACTTCGCGGGACTTGCGGGTAGCTGCTGTGATGGCTTGCCTAACTCCACGCCCACGTTGATCTATTGGGTACCGTATTGCTGCATCGTCACTTTCGACGGGGAAGGAGACGGAAGCCTAAGGGTCAGGGTAGGACGACAGCTTATTCTCTGGGTTGGCTGCAGCTAATCTAGGTAACTATCCATGGTGCCGACATGCCAACCAGTTGTTCATACCCGATGCTTTATGAATATCGAGGGCCTAAGCGTTCATCAAACAAAAAAAAAAATTATCATACCCTGTATTGGAGTTAGAATATGAGGATGTTTCGCCAGTCATGAGCTAGGAGAGATGTCTAGGTGGCCAAACAGGCCAGATTAGGAGACAGACTCTACTGATTACGAAGAAGCTTAGTGCCACTATACAAATCATCAATGAGATCCTTGCCACTTTTGTAGCTCTAGAAACGTCCTTATCCGTTCAAATCTCGGGCTGAGCCCTTCCCATGCAGCTGAATATGCAAGTACCCGCCATCTGACACAAGCCACCTCCTCCACCTCATTTCTGATAAACAGGTTTTGACGGCTCAGTATTACATTTCTAGTCCCAAAGATTCGTACCATTCGGTATCTACCCGGCTGCTAAGGAGAGGCGAATGGTATTGGTTCTGGGGTGTCTTTTCTTTTTTGGGTTTGGACAAAGAGGAGGTCGATTGCCCATTCAGCGTTCCAACATCTAACAATCACCATGGGCCATCACTACGCGAATAATGAATGTTTCGTAATTCAGGGGCCACATGAATCAACTGTCATTTGTGAAATGTCACCTATAGAGAACCCTACGTCGACGAGTAAAGACAGAAAAGCAACTCTTGAACCACGCCGACAACGCCAAACAGACCCAAATCCGACCAGCAGAAACTCTCTGTGGTGTTTTCCACGGATAAAAACCAACGCAGACGCTGAACCGAATCACAACACAAACGAAAATCAAATCTGAAAAATCAGGCAGCCAAGTTGGACGACAATAGCCCCAAGTACCACAAGCTCTCCGCCATCTGTCGGAAAATATGGATCAAGAACAGTCCTAACAACGAAGAAGGTATAGTTAGAATCATCTCCAAGAAAAGAAGAACACTAATAACACTTACGGTAGTGAACGACGTCGTCAAGCCACTCAATGACGCGAGGGGGGGTAGGAATAGGCGGCAAGACGACCAGGCCGAGGGAAGGCCACACGGGAAGGAGATCACGACCAATGGTCATCTCGGCAGGACGGATACCTTGGAGCGAGGCCTCGAATAGCCTCCTGTTCCCTTGGCGGAAGATGACATCGAGGCTCACATGCTCCGCCTCGCCTCCCTCCTCGCCAGTGCGAGCCAGGACCAGCCTGACTATCAGGCTGGCCTGGGTTTGGACGAAGTTTCCCCGACGTCCCTTCCAACTCAACAAGCCATCTTCGTCGATGAACATGTCTTCGGTGGGCACAGACCCACCGATGGCTCTTGAGAGCCTCTGCAAGGACCTCGCATGGAGGACGGGAAGCCAGCAGGAAGGCACTACCGGCTCGAGGTAGGGAGTTACGTTGTCAACCATTGTTGATTTCGTGACTATTCTGACTTGTATTAGCGAAACTGAAAACCTGGTCTGCGAGAGAAACTTAGATGACGACTGACGGGATGGGAGGTGGCGACGAGGGAAGACGAAGCAACGACCGAAAAACAACGAGGCAGCAGATATTGAAGTCAAGCTTGAAGAGCGTTAGGGAGTGCCCGGAATGTATGCGAGTAAATAACAAAACCACCAGTGTCAAACATACCAGGAAGTTATCGGAGAGAGAAATTGTGTGATGATGGCTGGAAAGGTTGGGAAGTCCAGGCTCAAATCCGAAGTTGCTTTAGTACCTAACATAACAGAGCCGACTGTCTTCCTGGGGCGTGACGCAAGGAGCTGGGGCAGAGGGACTGACACAACCGTTTAAGGCCCAGCCTTCGTCGACGAACACACCTGCATAGCTGCCAACGAACCCCACTCGTTTCTTCAAAACCCCTTTCATAGCAGAGAGTGGCCAAATTCTGGGCGATGGATCGCCTAAGAACATTCTGAAATAAATCACAACGTTCGATGACAAGGCCAAAGATATTACCACTCTTATTATCATCCTAGTTTCCAGAAGGCAAGTTCACTCATCAGTACATTGGATGCTAACAGGCCAAATTCACCTAAAAACGTGTATTTACTCACAAATACTCAAGTCTACCCATTCTCAATACTAATAAAGCTATTCTATGCCGCTTGTGCAGTTTTGTCCTCATCACCCTTGATCTCGTTCTTCAACACAATCGCCCTCGAGCTATTCTTCAAGTGGCTGTCGATGCTGACTGTACAAAACGCACAGAAAGTCGCCAGACCTCCGAACCCAATAGCAACCAGATACACGAGTCTAAACGCTTCCACGTTTGCCAGCTTCGTGTGATACAAAGCTAGCTCAACAAGTCGAGGTGTAGCTCCTTCGATCGCGGAGAAGGCTGCTTTGGTGTTGGTCGCTGCAGCTGTGACCAGCCCCTTGAGGAGAGAGTTAGAGAACGATACATCTGTGTCTTCGATAGCCGCATTCATCTGACCAGGTAGGGCCTCGCTGAGTTTGGTTGACAGAATGGCGGAGTAGATGGCTGTAGCGACGGCACCACCCAGCAATCGAAATGTTCCCGCCAGACCGACAGCAATTCCACTATACCCATTCGTTAGTGTTCCATATTCACTGCCCATAATACATCTAGGGAGTTTCTTGAAGCTAATCTTACATGTCTGATTGATCCTCTAGGCCGAGTGATAGCATCGCGAAAGATACCAGCTGAGGAGCCGTGACCATAGCAGAACCGATAATGAGCGTCACAATGGCCTGAACCCGATCGTCCACCCCGACTGAAGAAAGAGAACCGATGAGAGCTGTCTGAACGACCATGAAGAATACGAGTTGCCACTTCTCATGACCCAGCCATGAGCAGACGAAGACAGTCGTGACACCTCCCACTTTGCACAAAGTCAGTAATCCGAACCGTCGACGAAAATCCTACTGAAAGAATACTTACACCAACTTCCGATCGAGAAGAATGTCGCATAGCCGCCTCGGAGAATGGGCTGATCAGCACCCACGAATAACGTCTGAGATTGCCTCGGCCAGAGAACGTTCATGCTGTAGTAGAGCATTCCTCCTACGAAGCAAACCACGATGACCATCACAAACTCTCGAACTTTCATAAACAGCTTCGGTGGGAGAAGGGGATACTTTTGGTTCGAGTAAACCTCCCAGAACCCAAGGGCGACGTAGCTGCTGATACCAAGGATGATCGGTGTGATAGTGGCTGCGCTGTTCCAAGAATATTGCCTCCCTCCAAAGTTAATGCCTAAGAGGAAGAGCACTCCTCCAGTTATAAAGAGGAAGATGCCTACATAGTCAAGTTCGGCAAGCAGCTGCATCTTCGTCTTCCCATCGTGGCGGTGCTTCATCTTGAAGTCAGGGGGACGGTAGAAGATCCAGAGGAAGATGAAGGCGACGACATGCCATGTGAACATATACCAGTAAGCACCCCTCCAGCCGATGTCGTGAAAGGCAATGAAGCAATATGCGATGGCCGGGCTGCTAAACGCTATAGCGAGGGAGATGTCGAGGAGACCTGATATCCCGTGTAAGTCTCTCTACCCTAAAACCAACCCTGGAACAATGAGCGGCACTTACCAACTCCTACCATTCTGTGCTTGTTAGGTAGCATTTCCTGAATGCAAGCATAGGCCATTTCTTGGAATCCGGAGCCTATTCCAAAAAGAGTTCCGCTCGCGATCATCATGTCGATACTCCTACCGTTCGCCCCAACGAAGCACCCGACTATCGATATCGAAGCACCCGTGATCATGAAATAACGACGACCAAAGATATCGGACAAACGACCGCTGATGGAAACAATGATAGAACCACCCAGTTGCCAAACGATGGTAATCCAAGAGTAGTAGGGACTCGGTCCAAGCTCCTGATTTATATACGACAACGTCGTCGACGGAATCAACAGGCTCATAACATACGCATTGATTTGACCGGCAATAGCCTAGGACGTTGCAGATCAGCATTCCGTTGCTAAGTAACGTCTTTAAAAGTCTGGATAGGCATACAATACAAGCAAGAATCGTCTCCTTGGTGAGTTTATTGTGAACATCATTAAGCTCATCGGGGTCATGTTCCAATACTGTATGCTCAAGGTGGGAGTGGCTTCCTTGAGGTGCCTTTTCCCCGTCAGACTCGGAACGAATATCCTGAGCTGGGGTAGAACCACCGGAACTGTGATCACCAGTCACCCTCATGGTGTTGGACTTGGCTATTGCCTTCACGAATGTTTGGTTAGCTAGGGAGAGGAACCACGCAGGAGACTCCCGCACAGCAGCCTGCTCGACTATTATACTCCTAAAGAGCTGCGGGGTGCAAGGTGGAGGACACCATCAATGTTTCGGGCCTGGTTCGAGGCATATTCTGGGGTAAGATCCATCTTGCACAAATGAATCTCTCCCCAGATCATCTGGATTTCCCCACACTATCATGAATCGCGGGTGTCATCATTGGGTCTAATGAGATATCGGCCGTAAAAGCTTCTCCATTAGGCCTTACCATCCAGGGCTCACAACATCTCCGCTATGAAAACCCGCGGGAAATTCGGATGGATTATTGGGTCCTCTAGGATTTAGCAAAAGACGGGAATATGAACCGTGAGCAAGGCTGAAAGGCAAGGGTGTCATCTGGTCTTGACTGTTAGATCTGGCTTATCGTCTCGGACAACGTTTTCCTCGACCCCCACTGCTGGCATCTTGGTTGTTAACTTGGGCTAGAGCAAATCGGATAAGAGGGGTCCCAAGACCCTGAATGTTCTGCAATCGAGGCCAGAATTACCAAGCTCATTACGGGCCAACAATGCGTCACGTTACTGTCAGTCCAAGGAAAACTGGAAAATCGATTTCCGGAACGCCTAATTCGTCACATTAACACCACCAGTCCCTGAAGCAACACATCTGTTAGTCTAACTAATCCTGATTGAATAAGAGGGAAGACTTAATGATTTATTTGTTGTCATTTTGCTGAAAAATACTTATAGTTTGAAGCGTCTGCCAGTGTCCAGAGGAATATCCGCTCAGAGGGTAGCTCTCGGTGATACCAGAGCAGCCCTCTCCAGAGAAGAACTTGGTTGGAGGATCACAGGCGATAGTTAATTAATTATTAGTTGCCTAGTAGCATTCTGACTTCTATGATTCTTTGGTGAGACCCAAAGAGTAGGTTAGACGAAGAAGTGTGATAAATAGCGGGGAGGCCCCTGACCATGTCGGTAGTTGTGTGAAGTGTATCAGGTTTAAATCAGCATAAAGAAGAGACTCGATGAATATACCAGTTGTATTTCAGGTAAACAGATGTATTCCGACTTGCTAGTGAATAATAGACTCATTTCGTAGTCTGGCAAACCGCCTGGCTCTATATCCCGAACGCCCTCTCATTCGTATCATCGTTTCGAACCGGCCTCTCTTTCTTTGCTTTTATGTGTCCCATAACGCCTTGAACTCCGATAATGATTCAGATCGACCCGACAAGGCAAGTGAGAGTATCAGCTGCGGTTGGTGGTCCAGCCGTTCGAGCCAACATCCCACGCCTCTCCCCTTGCTAGGTCTAGACCAGCAGCACACATAACTTATTGGATTTCCATATCCTCAGCCGCAGCACTTTCACCCACATCGGCTTTAGCATCGGTCTCGACAACATCTATATCAACCCGTTAGCAACTGAGCTCGAACCAACCCCAACCCCTAACACCATGACAGTCAAACAATGTAAGATAGAGCCAACTTACCAGTCATCTCAACGATACCCTCGGCGTCCATCTTCCTCTTGAGGGCATATCCCATCTTCTTCTCCAGCTTCCTCGCCTTCTTGCCGCTCAGCTTGGCCCGGGGCCCGCTGTTGGGCAGGAGACCGGGTCGCGCGCCCCGTGCGACGTCCTTCCTCGAGATCTTGTTTTGGTTCTGCGCAGATATTTGTCTCTGCGTCTTCTTGGCCTTCATCGACCGTGCGGAGGCACGGAGCTTGGACATGCCGTTGGGGTTCTTGACGGACGGCATCGTGGCGGTGTTGGGATAGGAATATCGCGCGGCGCGTATAGTTTTCGAGGTGGTAGTCGTCGTCTTCGAGGCTCGTTTCTCGCGTGGGAGGATTGGAAGCCCTTTCACTCGTTGAAGGTGAATTGGTTATTTAACACCGTCCTTATCAAGATGTGCTTGCAGAAAAAAAATATTTGGCCCCGCAGGAGACCCCGAACCTGCATGGCGGCATGTCTCCGGATTTGAACCCCACTATAAAATTGGATATCCCCATATTCATATTGAATGGCACGAGATGTGTAGAAGCTGGTTCAATTTTTTGTGTTTACGCTGACGAGCATTTTCTTCTCAGCTTCATAAAACAGACTCATATGAAGTAATTAAAATTCCTCCCGACAAGATATGTAGATCTGATACTTTCACAAGCTCCCTACCTTCGCCTGACTCCACAATCCAAACCATGATGATGTATAAAAAAGAACCCAATGATGTGTTTTACAGAAAGATGCCAGAATTATTCAATCTTTATAATCTCACGCCAGGGGTTTCACCACTGCGACGGAGCATTCTTTCACCCTCGTCAACTTCGTCGTCGCTCGTCAGACCATCCAGCTCGAATTCCTCCGCATCCGCAACCTGACCTTCCTCAACCGCACGACCATTGGCGTCTGAGTACCCGTTTGCGAACCCCTTGGTATCGATAGGAGGGTTGGCAAGACGGTCATAGAGGTGGATGAGCATGTTTACGAAAAGGAATACCAAGAAAGCGAGGGAGAAGAGAACCAAGATGTAAGAGATGTGGTCCATTGGGGAACTGGCAACAAGCAACATCTGCTCTTCCTGGGCACCCATGAAGAAGAAACCGGCCGAATAAAGGAGCTGAAATATCGAAAGTTAGCAAAAGAAAGTGAGGCGTTGAGGTAAACTTACAAAGACAGGGATGTACTGGAAGCTGTTATAAGCACGGCCATCATCGGACAGCGACGGCTTATCCTTGAGAATGAAGGCAATCTCAATGACACGCGTCAAGCCGGCACCCATGAGTGTGTATCCAAACATGGTATGCGTTGCTGCGCTCACCATCAGCTCCTGTGGGTGAGCCGACATACCGTATCCTGTGATGAAGATGACAAAACCAGGAATGAAGTTGCGCTTGGGGTTTCCGTCCCGGTCCTTGCTCAGCCAGATACCCGCAAGACCAGCAGCCCACCAAATGATACCCATCGAGGTGTGTTGCCAATCGTTCTTGACCCAGGCAGTGCCCCAACGATGCTCGGTGAACGTATTGACACATCCCCAAGCCGCAATCATAGCACTGTCGAAGAACTCTTGTGACTGATTGCGGCGTCGGAGCCACATCTGCCCAACAAGAAGCATGATAGTCAGGATGATACCATAGCCAATAAAAGCACTGCCCATAATAAAATGAGCAGCGCACTGGCCGACGTGCTCACCCTGGCAGAACCCAAGCGCCGTGATGCCACCAAAGATCATCTGGGTCCAGGATAACACTGGCATCAACTTGCCTAGGATCGAGTGGCAAGGACGGACAAGCTTCCTGATCATTCCAAGGATGCCTCGCTCCCAGTGCAGTTTCAAGTAGAGTCCCAAGACGACTTGAACAGCCAGGATGATTTGTAGGATATGGGCGAAAATAGAGTGAACGTTGTTGCCGATGAACTCGCGACCGCCGTGCGCATGACCGAGGAAGAAGCCTGCAATAGCCAAAGCTGTGCCGAATATCTGCGTCGGAACATGCCATCGGGACTTGGTCATCTGAATACAAGAAGTCAGTACTGAATGCAGGATCACCTTGTCTAGTGCCAACCAAGGAGCAACATCAAGGTACACGTACACCAAATATCATTCCAATGGGAAATACGACGCCGTACGCGATCATTTGGACGAAGATATGAATCCAAAGAACCTTATCCTACCACCTAGTTAGCGCAGCTGTTTTGTCCATAGAGAAGGACGACGTACGAGTGGCTCCAGGGAGACCGTCTGCCCCTCGGGAATATTACTCTCGCTTCCATGATGATCATGGGCCAGAGCACGTTGTCCAAGCAGTCCGAGTATTAAGAACACAAGGGAGCGACCCTTGGAAGGCTCGAACCGCATCGTGAAGACCGGTCGATAGCCAACTGTTTCCGAAAAGAAGAAACGCGAATACCGTATGAGGAATATTTATTGCGATCGGTGGGGGATTATCGGACAACAGATCTCGATTACGGATTCGATCGTAGAGGTGATTCGGCGTCGGCGTCTCAAAGCAAAGCAACTGAATGCCTGCGTATGAACAAGGGCGGATAGTAATTGATGCGATGGAATGGGAGAAAAGAAAAGGATCAAGTCCAACAAAAGAGTGTGGGGATGGGAATGTTCAGTCGAGGCAGGAGCAATTGAGATCCAGGAATGCTCTTGCAGGGAATTGGACCTCGATCGATTTACGGATACTTCGGCCATACGACAAAAATAGGCGTTGTGATTGGCGACGTTGACGGGTACGGCGGGGCTCCATCTGACCCCTGCCGCGATGCATTAGTTTTAGGGGGCCCTGGCGAATCATTCCCTCCCTATTGCCAGCTGGCAATCTACATGGCATTTCAGCAAAGCACAAGGCTTTTGCCTCTGGTGCTGTTTTCTTTCAAACATGTCCAGTTATTCCTGCGGAAAGGGGGGCTATGCTGTAGGATTTTCTAGTTGAAACCCATGCCAAGGCGAGGCCAACCCAGCACGGAGTACAAGAGGGTGGCTTTGCTAGACAGGGCAGCTCTACCTAGTAGCCACGCGTTCCCGGAATAAAGGGGTATCTTCGACCAGCCGGAGCGAATATGCCGAAGTCCATGTCCCTCCCAAATGCTATACCACGCTTTTGTGTAGTCGTAACCCTCATGATACTTCAATAAAGGAGACAAAGCAACCACGTATTCAACTAGGTAGGGAGTTGTAACCACTTCCGCCTAGACGTTTCACCCATGACGGGCAAGCCATCAGCAGGGTCAGATATAAAGCCCCTTCACGCATTCACAACCACATGGGGCGGCATGGCTCTAGCACCACAGGATAATTTATCAGTGTATGATTTGACTCCGCAAACATCTTTACGTTCCAAGTAAGTACCCGAATTGTAGTATGAAGGTTTTGGCAAAAGCTATGTTTGTAGCAAACAGTGGTGTGCCACCTCCTTGTAGCTTCAGCAATCATTAAGCCATCACCCCACAGAACAGTATGCAAATCAGTGATATCACAATAGTTTGTATGCTGTCTCTTCATAGGCGTATGAGGAAATGAGTAATTCCCCTGCACTCCTGGATCTACCCTTGACTCCCACCCTTCAACTTTCAATTCTCCTTATATCAACCATATACGACCAAAGGGGCCCTAATATATTCTTGTCTGAACGAGATGCACCAAAGCTAGGGTCCAGCGATAGGGACCTTTGATGCAGCTATGACTTTTACTATACTTCAGTTTTCGATCGAGCTCACTTCGAGCGACTATGTGATACTCATCGGCACAGGTGCGGCTCTAGCATGGCTCTTCTGCCACTGGACGACAAGATTCCGTGAAATCTGGGCGTGGCACCACAGCAGAACCAGCGGCGGTGTCACTGCTTCCGGCGAAGTAGGAGGCGAGCAACGGAGACGAAGGCAAAGGCGGAGGCGGAGGCGAAGACGAGTACAGGTGCAGGGTGGCTGGAGTGCGGAGAGTGCAATAAACTATCATAGCCTCCCCTCAAGTCCGGAGACTGCAAGCCAGTTTGGCCGATAACAGGGAAATTAAGCGTTCTGGGAAGAATGCTTATCGAGTGCAGTTATGCATGCACGCCTATAGGAAGTTAGCTTTTTTGTAAACAGGGATGGTTCCATATTCCATGATCATACCTGGAAACATGCAACCTGAATTCCAACAGTTCCAGCTTACTTTGAGAACAAGTTTGAAGAATCCACCATGTGTGACTAGAGCTACTCCAACTTGATATCGCTTCCCTCCTTTTCCAAGAACTTTCTTGCGTCCGCCCAAAGCTCGGCTTCCATGTCTCTCTCCACCCTAGAGCCATGGCTATTCAACCAGCCAACATCGAGGTTTCCAACGGCCCCCATCCCGTTAGGTTTGAGGGATGCCGTTTTGGGACCACTGCTGCCGGGTTCCTGCTTTGCTCCAGCAGACAAGTTCACAATACCAGCCTCTTCGAGAGCCATGATTTGGCGCTTCATCTTCACATCAACAGCATGCAGCGTGTCCAAGAACGAATCGGTTGCACCACGAAACGCGGCCTTCTTCGCCGACGGGTCTTGCTGCGGAAGTGTTGCCTGCGAGTCTGGGGAGTTGATGGGGATAGTGAGGGCGTTGAGCGCGGTGGCAGTGTGGTTCATTAGATCCACGATGGATTTATCAATCGCATTCAGCTGGTGGATGTTCTCCTCCACAGTAAATGGCTCGTGGACCCGGGAGTTTCCATCATCCATCTGGACATCCTTTGGGGAATCCATGATTGGTTTAGAGTTGATGTTTAATGTTTAGATTCAAGAAACACTTCGAGAGAAAGGCGATGGATGGTCGTAGTATTTGAGCCTGGGTTTGGAGGTGGCATAAAACTGTGGGGCGCATGGTGATTGCCTGGAGGAAGGGTAAAGATCGGCTAATATCTCGACACGCCTAGCACCAGCAAAGCTGTTAGTGCGTCAGCGCCCAGACCGTGAAGGAGGTACGTACCGTTTCCAAGCTCAAGCCTTCACGAACCTCGACAGAGCTTCCATCGTCGCGCGACAGAACCTTCAGATGCATGACTGGCCCATCTAAACTCTCCCAGGGCCCTGTTCCGCCATCTCCCACTCTTGCTACTCATTGCGATTGTGTTCAATACTCCCTTTTTGGTGATTCTGTATTCCTATTGTCCCTGTAAAAGCTCTCCAGCCACCATCCTGCCCGTTGTTTGGCGCGGGACTGGGCATGGGGCCTCGGCGTTGATCGCCTCGACACGTACTCTCGACACATTTCCATAGAGACGTCCCAAGCGCACTGCCACTGTCATCATGTCTGGCCAGCCGCCCGCCCCTCCTGTACCGCCGGCTGCCAACTATGCCGTCCAGCCAGCAGCGTCGCCTGTGGCTCCCCCTCCAACAGGCGCACCTGCAGCCGCGCAGGGAGCTGGCACCTCAATGTCCAACCAGAATCTCAATCAGATAGTAAGTGGCCTTGAAGGCATACTCGCTCTCTCTCTCCTCTCGCTCCTGCCACACGGCCCTTCCCCCCTCCAAACTGCACCCTCTCCACTGCCCTCACCTCACACACCCCTCCTCCACCTTGTCACACACATGCAATACCACCTATCTCTTCTCCTTCACTCTATTCACTTTTCTTTTTTTGGTGCTACATCTCTCTACACTCATACCGTTTTTCGCTTCCCAACCCAAGATCCTCCCCCACTATACTTCCCGCCTCTACATATCAGTATCCTTCAAGCATAACTGCTTCTCGGCACCATGAGGAACCCCAGTTCACAATATGTGAACACGGCGATGCTGATGGCTAGAGACCGGGATAAAGTAAGATGTTCAGGGAGTGCATCACATAGCCTTGCTCATAACATCACCTAGCACTTTATTCTACAATCTCTTCGACGACAGTGGCTGACCAGTTCACACTTTAGGTTACAGATTATCTCTTAAAAAGAGGATTCAATAGGACTGAAGAGGTCTTTCGACAAGAGTCGAAGCATCTTGGTGCAGATGGAAAGCCTCTGCAGCAGATGGCCAATATTGGCCCCAAAAAGTACGGCATAGCCTTTAATAATCTTAAAGAATGGGTGGACAACAACCTGGATATCTATAAGGTGAGAACTGAGCCTCCTCCCATGAACGCCCAAAGCTCGCCTGGCTGACACTATGCAGTATGAGCTGTCCAAGTTGTTGTGGCCCGTATTTGTCTATTCTTTCATGGAGCTTGTGACTCAAGGCTATACGGAAGAGGCCAAGGCGTTCCTCAAGTTGGGGGAGTACTTCAGGCGCTCCCACGACGACGATCTTAAGACACTCGGCGGTATCACCTTGCCTCAACACGTCTCTGATAATGCCACTACCAAGCTCTACAAGGAGAACAAATACCGGATCCCGCTTAATGAACATGCGCTTAGTGACCTGTTTAACTTCATGGAGCGGGAATCGCAGAAGGGTGGCCCAGTTATTCGCCAGTTGCTTGTTGAGCATTGCGAGGTCGACTCCACAAGCCGAGGTCCTATCACTCCCTACAGTTTTGAAGCAGTCTATCGCAAGTCTAGAAACATTGAGCTCGACGCAGCTGATATCAACGAGGGTATTCCTGGAGTCAAGATCGGCCTAGCAAATAGGGATGTGTTAGACTCATCAACTCCCCTAACCCTGGGTCCCCTGCCCATGGACCCGGACCTAAAAGAAGATGTCCGTGCCGAGATTGAGGAAGAGGAGGCCAGGAATCCTCCACAGCCTGGACGCAGTATCTTGGACGAACTGGACCAAAAAATCAAGAGAGAAGAGAGTGCCGACGCCCCTACCAGAGCCGACCTTCCCCTACCCCCGTCAAGGCCTCGAGACATCTTGCTCGAAATGTCCAAGCTCCGTGAGAACAGAGACCGGTTCAAGATCGAAGGTCGGACTGGGGGATCAGGTGTTCCAGTCAGTGCATGCATGTTCACTTTTCATAACACGTTGGGGACGTAAGTATCATGAGGACCTATCCCTTGATCGCGATGATTAACAGTGAAACAGGGTTGCATCCATGGACTTCTCAAATGACGGAACAATGGCAGCCGCAGGTACCACCGAGTCCTATATCCGTGTGTGGTCGCTGGACGGAAAGGCCTTGCCGTCTTCTAACCCCACTGACAAGGACGCAAAGTTCAACAGCCGCAAGTTGATTGGGCATTCTGCCCCAGTATATGATGTGTCTTTTTCTGATGCTGCCTCTGGACCACCTCAGAAGCTCTTCGGCGATGAGGGCACTAAGAACTCTGCAATGGACCCGCGTCCAAAGCTCCTCCTATCATGCTCCGCCGACGGCCATCTTCGACTATGGTCTCTCGAGTCATGGACGTGTCTCTGCCTCTACAAATCACACGACGGACCCGTCCATAGGTCAGTGTGGGGTCCCCACGGCCACTACTTCTTGAGCGGCGGTTATGACAAGGCAGTCCGAGTTTGGATGCAAGACCACGCTTCGCCGCAGCGCCTCCTCGTCGGCCATGACACCTCCATATCCGCCATTGCCTGGCATCCGAACGGACTGTATGTGTTCTCGGCATCCGACGAGACTGACAAGTCAATCCGCATGTGGTCCGTCGTGACAGGAGCCTGCGTTCGCGTACTCAGTGGTCATGTTGACTACATCAGCGCCCTTGAGTGTGCACCAAACGGCAAGATTCTTGCAAGTGCTGACGCCGCCGGCAACATCATGTTCTGGGACATTGAGAAGGGCACGCGTATCAAGCGCTCAAGAGGCCACGGCAAGGGTGGTATCTGGTCCTTGAGCTTCAGCATGGAGTCAAATGTGCTTGCCTCGGGAGGCCAGGACGGAACAGTTCGCATGTGGGATGTTGAGCTCCCTGCAGACCCTCAAAAGGTCGCCCAGCAAGTTGGACTGGATGCCGGGGCTACGGCGCCAGATGCCGCTGGTGCCAATGCGGATGCAGCCAGGCCAGCCACGACGCAGCCAGCAAGTGCCGCCCCAGCAACTGGCACTCATAAGAAGAAGAGTAAGGAGGTTCAAGTGACGCCAGATCAGATCAGTTCATTCCCGACCAAGAAGACGCCGGTGATGAAGGTGAAGTTTACACGGATGAACTTGGTCATCGTTGGAGGTTGCTATGATCCTGAGCGCTAGGGGCCGGACACAGCAGGGCCAATCGATGTTCCTAAGACCTGGATGAGTCTTCTGTCCCCCAATGCGGGCTGTGCCAAATTTGAGGAACCGGTCAAGGCTTGATTTTAGAGCGAGGAGTATTATCGTTAGTTGAAAGTCTCGAGATCCTTGAACGCCAACAGTCAAAAATGGAGTTGAGGCTAGCGGTCAGCTTTTTGAGAGACATATGTAATTTGTAAGTATCTTAGGGCAGAGACAGCAAGTGCAACCTGAAGAGGCAGGTTCATCTAGCGTTTCGTAGTTCAATAAGGTATGGTCTATCATGATAATAGTCTTGAGGCTCTTGCAAGTGAAGCCTAGCCTAGATATTCAACTAGTTTGTGCAAGCATCTCACAATATGACAGGGTAGGGGGACAAGAACACCAGTGTATTGAATAAATCAATTGAATCAAGACCCAATCGGCCTCCGCGCCCATATATACCGTTCTATCCGGCACAGTCTAGACTCCAAACGAAGAAAGCGAGGCCCGGAGAAGCTGCCCGTCTGGGCTCCAGGCTGCAGCTGGTGCTGGCTCGGCGCTGTGCTGCTGGACGGTGGGGCTGGCGGTGGTGGGCGGAAGCTGCGCAACCACTGAACTGGACCGACCAGCCACTGACCCGCCGTCGTCCGCTGACTGGTTCTGGTGCACTCCACTGACGTTCGCGGAGCCACATGCCGCATTACTTCTCACCTCATCGAAGCTCTCGCAACTCCCAGGCAGCTGCCGATCGAACGACCCAATCCAATCCCCAAGCTTCCAACACCTCTCGCAATGGATGTTGAGGAATCCCCATGGGCTGACACAAGCCAGGGCTCCAAGCCCGACACCCAGCCCGAGCTCACCACCGCGGATTCGACAGCTGCCACCACGCCTGCGAGCTCCCAGCCAGCCTCAGGAGCAGCCCCAAGCCCCCGTCCTGCTCGCGGCCCCCGTCGCCTCGTGGCCCAGCCTACACGTCTCGAGGCTGTAGATGATCCCCTCGGCCCTCTCGGCGCCGCTCCCTCAACCGGCGGCGATGGCGCTCCTCTCGAGGAAGACCGGCCCGCGCCCCCACAGAAGGAGCAACTGGTGATGCGGACGACCATGCCTCAGCCTCAGCAGCAGCAACAGCAGCCCAGGCGACCGGCCGATCCGCATCGCCTGTTCGAGGATGAGGAGGAGGAGTTGAGCGCCGCGCAGAGGGGTCCCAGAGCACCACCCCCCGTCGATGCCGCCAGGCCGAGCACCGTCCAGAGCTCGACACAGCCGAGCGTCAGCGTGGAGCAGGCAGCGAAGCCAACCTTTCAAATCTACGTCGGCGACCCGGTCAAGATTGGTGACTTGACGAGCTCGCACATTGTCTACTCAGTACGGACCAGGGTAAGGGCAGACCGCATGATCCAGCCGAGCAATGGGGAGAGTCGCAAGCTAATCGAGAGGGGATTTTACTTGACAGACCACGTCGAAGGCCTACAGGCAGCCTGAATTCGAGGTCAAGCGCCGGTACCGAGACTTCCTGTGGCTCTACAACACGCTGCACGCTAACAATCCCGGGTTCGTCATCCCGCCGCCTCCGGAGAAGCAGGCCGTCGGCCGCTTCGACAGCAACTTTGTCGAGAGCCGTCGGGCGGCGCTGGAGAGGATGCTGAACAAGACTGCCGGGCACCCGACCCTGCAGCACGATGCTGATCTGAAGCTGTTCCTGGAGAGCGAGTCGTTTAATGTCGACGTGAAGCACAAGGAGAGGCGAGACGTCATCCCCACCGAGAGCAAGAGCGTCTTCAGTTCGTTCGGTATCAACGTGGGTGGCGGCAACAAGTTTGTCGAGCAGGATGACTGGTTCCACGATCGCAAGGTGTACCTCGATGCGCTCGAGAACCAGCTCAAGGGCTTGTTGAAGGCCATGGAGTCCATGGTCGCTCAACGCAAGATGATGGCCGAGGCGGCCGGCGACTTCTCCGCCTCGCTACATGCACTCTCCACGGTTGAGCTGTCGCCCTCGCTATCTGGGCCCCTCGATGCTCTCTCCGACCTGCAGCTCACCATTCGCGACGTGTACGACCGCCAGGCGCAGCAGGATGTTCTGACCTTTGGCGTCATTATTGAGGAGTACATCCGTCTCATTGGCTCGGTCAAGCAGGCTTTCACCCAGCGCCAGAAGGGATTCCACGCCTGGCACTCGGCTGAGTCGGAGCTGCAGAAGAAGAAGGCGAACCAGGACAAGCTCCTCCGGCAGGGCAAGAGTCAGCAGGACCGGTTGAACCAGATCAGCGCCGAGGTGGGTGAGGCAGAGCGCAAGGTGCACCAGGCTAGACTGCTCTTTGAGGACATGGGCCGGTCAATGCGGGCGGAACTGGATCGGTTCGAGAAGGAGAAGGTAGAAGACTTCAAGAGTGGCGTGGAGACGTTCCTCGAAAGCGCAGTAGAGGCGCAAAAGGAGGTGAGTCTTGCCATTGTTTGCCCCCCTCATTGATTGAACCAGCACTGACAAATGAGACAGTTGATCGAGAAGTGGGAGACGTTCTTAATGCAGCTGGATGCCGAGGACGACGATTCCGTCTTCTACAAGCCTCCCGTCTTCCAAACGAATCAGGACAAGGCTCCGGGAGACACGGCCATTGACCGTGCCCGGGCACGTCTCCACGAGGACTCGGATTGAGGGAGGTCAGGTTCATTCATACCATGAAACGATATGATGCCGGAGCTGCTCTACAGCCACACGACCGGGGAAGATTTGGAGAGGCTTATCATTTCTTTGTTCTCGTCAAAATTCTTATACACTAGCAAGGGAGTCTTTTGTTGTTGAAATGTTGTACATGTTGTGTCAATATCCTTTCCCGCTCGACTGTCTATTCCCCAATCTGTAGAAAAACTCCAGACCAATTCTTCTCGAATCCATGTCTTGTACACTCATTTCGCCAAGATGATTATTCCCCCCTCCTTTCTCCAATTATACAAGGAAGCGGCGTCTCATATTTTGACACCTTATTTCTTCTTCGTAGGAGCAGCATCCTTCAACGCACTCGTATCCTGGTTGGCGTACGAAGATATCAAAGAGCCGTAGCCATCGTCAGCGAGGTCATTGCTGCCCTCGCTACCCTCCTCGCCGTCCTGCTTGCCGTCAAAGGCGGTGCCGAACCTCCCTCGGAAGGCGGCGAGCTTGCCGGCCTCGTCGAGCTCGACGTTCCTGAGCGACTTCTCCGAGGGCTGCCAGGTCAGGGTGTTGCGGGTGTCCTTTGTGGCGACGTAGAGGGGCTGGGGGGAGGTGGTGCGGGCGATGTAGGAGGAGCCGTCGGAGAGCTGGACGAGCTGGGTGAATGTGTAGGGGCGGCGGGGGCGCTGGATGAATGTGGCGTGGCGGACCTGGTTGATCTGGAGGCAGGACGTTGAGGACGGGCGGAGGAGGGTGGTTGTGCGGAGGGCTGGCGTGAGGGCCAGGGGGGAGGGGATCTTCCCCATTGTTGCTGAGAGTCTGGGGTTCTAAGGGTGGCGGTTTGGATTGGGGGGTTCGAGATGTCGGTGCTCGTCTGGGGAGAGTGCTGCTTTGCGCCGGGATTGAATTTCATATAATCTGATGCTCAAGTGCTCAAACCTGACTGACGAGAATGGTTGGACCCATAATGAAAAGAATTGGGGCGCCGCCATTGGGTGGGCTTATCGATAAGAATATTCTATCTAGCTCGGCGTCGACGAATTCGAGCAGAATGCGGCTATTCGGATCACCAGAGCTTTCGATATCTGCGATTCCTAGGTTCGGTCTTGCAATTGGAAGGCTGTTCTGCGTCCGAATGCAGAACAGTTGCGCTCCCCAGGACATGAGATAATGCAGTGTTGCTCGGCGATGCGAGAAGCGCCCCTGCGAGCTTGGAGACAGTCGGCTTCAAGATGCAGCGATGCGACGACAGGTCTAGGCGGGGTCTTGAGATACAAGATGAAGGTTGTGCGATGGCAATCTAATACTACGTATGGGCATGTTTCGAGATCCTGTGCGGGATCTCTAAGGTCGCCCAGGAGCTGTAAGTAATCTTCAACCTGAGCTTCCAATCGTCGACGACTGACAATGGAGCGATAGTTTTCCCCATACGACCCTTCCACAGCTCGTCGACAGCATATTCTAATGAACCTCCAACTCCGACGGCGGCCGTCTCTGCTTCCGATCCTCTACCCGAACAGCTTCGCTCCATAATGCGTCTCCTCACACATCCCGTGGTGGTCTGCACTGCGCACGACGGCACCCACCCTAGAGGCATGACCATGTCCTCCTTCACATCCCTCACGCTAACGCCTACGCCTCTCATCACATTCAATGTCCTGGCGCCGAGCCGTACGCTAGACGCCATCACAGAGAGCGGCGAGTTCAACATACACATCCTAGCCGGGGACAAGAACGGGGCGGCGGTCGCGGAGAACTTCACACGAGGCAACACGGACCCCAGCGTCTTCCAGAGTCTACATAGCGCGGCTTCCAAACAGGGGACGGGCAGCCTGGCCCCCGTGCTTGTGGGGGATGGCATCCTCTACGTGCTACGGTGCCGGCTGGCAGGCGACGCCGCGCCAAACGGGGGGCTGATCCGTGTCAGAGACCACATTGTCGTGGTTGCGGAGGTGGTGGGGACGGTCCCGGGGATTGAGGACAAGGAGTTTGGGCTGGCATATTCGGATCGGAGTTTTAGAGGGGCTGGCGAGGTGATTGCCCGGCACTGAGGACTGTGCTTTGGTTGGGCTTTGGTGGGTGGTACGTATGAGGGTATCTAGAATTAGACTGTACAACAAACAGGAACAGTGTATTATCATGTGTATACAATATAGAGATGTTTGGTTGACAATAAACCAAGCAGTTGCCGCTCACGCAAAGTCTGAGAACACAGGCTTGACAGGGTTGAATCATGATAGGCAAACTAGGCGGCTAGCAAAGTGCAGATGGAAACTGCGATAGGCTTTGTCGTGTTAGTGCCACACACCAGCTCTTTGCGCCCTCCATCAAACCAATCGGCTGGCAAAGGGCAAACAAAGCAGCATCGGCAAGAAAGGGAGACGTATAAGGGCAAACTACGTGGCTGGTGGCTAACCGTTAGGCAGATGTTGGCCTTCAATGCCGTCTCACTAGACGCCAGCGGCTAGGCACAGCTTCTTGTGTTAGCCCACAGATTAGCCTGGAGGACGCCCCCAATGGGGAAGTGTGGTCCCTTTGGGTGCGAGTGCAGGCATGTTCTGGGGACCAAAGCCGCCTATCGTTTTCGGCCTGGTTCGCCCCCGAGGATAAAAAAATGCCGGAAGCCTCGTCAGCGGCCTAGGGAGGGGTTAGGCCACGATCACGATGTGGGCGGACTCGGTGGTGGGAAAGAAAGCCTGCATGAGTCGCCTCTTTGATTCGTTGGCAGATGTTCCTCAGCCTTGCCAACAAGGTCCATGCGTGGGTACCTGGCCCCTCCCTCGGTCTGAGGAAGGGAGCAGGGCGGGTTCGCTGTGCAGGGGTGCGGCGGGCGTAGCAACCGTTTCAACAATAGAGGGGTGATGAGGATCACGGCGGGCAGGTTCGCGAAGATTCTATGTGCAGCTCAAGCCTGGGGATAGCAGCGAAATCTCAGGGCAGGAGTCTGGCTCACAATGCCCCTGGCTACGGGATGGGAACGTCTTTATTGCACCGCGAAGACTGGAGAAGGTGGGGTTGTCGAGGCACCCGAAAAATGATGCATTCTGAAAGCTTCCATGTACCTGACCACAGGCAATTGTCGAGAACAACAGGGTCTCTTTCAGGCGGTGGAAGGCTCTAGAACTGCACGGCCAATCAGCGCTGTGCTACGGCAGGCAACCGCACCTTAGAGGCAGTGCGCTTAGGCGGGTTGTTGCTGGGGAGAATAGGCGGTGCTACTAGAACGTGCGTGGAGGGGTCCTTTTCTGCCGTAGAATCTGATGGAATCTCGAGTCGAGGGGCCCTTCTCTTCCTACAAGTACTTATTTTCCCAGCCAGCTCTCTCAACTCTCTTCCTCCTCTCTCCATCCTCATCCTCACTTTTTTTTTTCCTCCCTCCACGCACAGGATCTATCATCCTCCCATCTGCTCTTGTGTGAGCTTGTTTTAATTCCCCCTCCACCTTTTTAACGACCAAGGTAAGCTTGCTTCCGCCGCACACTCATTTACACCGCCTGCCCCAAACGACACATCCTCAGCCTCGTCCCTCCAGCTGCCCCTCCCCAACTTTTTCTTCTCACCACTTCTTGTGCACGCGAGCAAAACCAAGCTAACTCGGCAACCAGACTTTGCGATTCCTTTTTGATACCCGTCACAATGGCTGAGACTTTCGAGTTCCAGGCTGAGATCTCTCAGCTTCTCTCCCTGATCATCAACACCGTCTACTCCAACAAGGAAATCTTCCTTCGAGAACTTGTTTCCAATGCCTCTGATGCTCTGGACAAGATCCGCTACAAGGCTCTGAGCGACCCCTCCCAGCTCGAGTCTGGCAAGGACCTCCGCATTGACATCATCCCCGACCTTGAGAACAAGACCCTCACCATCCGTGATACCGGTATTGGTATGACCAAGGCTGTAAGTCTTCCCCATTGTGGATGGCCCATGCAAGTCTACAGCAATAGCTAACAAGTATATCACAGGACCTCGTCAACAACCTTGGTACCATTGCCCGTTCCGGCACCAAGCAGTTCATGGAGGCTCTGACTGCTGGCGCTGATGTCTCCATGATTGGACAGTTCGGTGTCGGTTTCTACTCTGCCTACCTCGTCGCCGACCAGGTCCGCGTCATCTCCAAGCACAACGATGACGACCAGTACATCTGGGAGTCCAGCGCCGGTGGTACCTTCAACATCACCGCCGACACCGAGGGTGAGCCCCTCGGTCGTGGTACTGCCATCATCCTCCACCTCAAGGAGGAGCAGCTCGACTACCTGAAGGAGGCCAAGATCAAGGAGGTCATCAAGAAGCACTCCGAGTTCATCTCCTACCCCATCTACCTCCACGTTAAGAAGGAGACCGAGAAGGAGGTCCCTGATGAGGATGCTGCTGAGGTCGAGGAGGTCACCGAGGAGGGTGACGAGAAGAAGCCCCGCGTCGAGGAGGTCGACGACGAGGAAGAGGAGAAGGAAAAGAAGCCCAAGACTAAGAAGATCAAGGAGACCAAGATCGAGGAGGAGGAGCTCAACAAGCAGAAGCCCATCTGGACTCGCAACCCCCAGGACATCACCCAGGAGGAGTACGCCTCCTTCTACAAGTCTCTCTCCAACGACTGGGAGGACCACCTCGCTGTCAAGCACTTCTCCGTTGAGGGTCAGCTCGAGTTCCGTGCCATCCTCTTCGTTCCCAAGCGTGCTCCCTTCGACCTGTTCGAGACTAAGAAGACCAAGAACAACATCAAGCTTTACGTCCGCCGTGTCTTCATCACTGATGACGCTACTGACCTCATCCCTGAGTGGCTCGGATTCGTCAAGGGTGTTGTCGACTCTGAGGATCTTCCCCTCAACCTGTCCCGTGAGACTCTCCAGCAGAACAAGATCATGAAGGTCATCAAGAAGAACATCGTCAAGAAGTCTCTTGAGCTCTTCCAGGAGATCGCCGAGGACAAGGAGCAGTTCGACAAGTTCTACAGCGCCTTCTCCAAGAACCTCAAGCTCGGTATCCACGAGGACACCCAGAACCGCCAGATCCTGGCCAAGCTCCTCCGCTTCAACTCCACCAAGTCTGGCGATGAGCTCACCTCCCTCCAGGACTACGTCACTCGCATGCCCGAGCACCAGAACAACATGTACTACATCACTGGCGAGTCCATCAAGGCCGTCCAGAAGTCTCCCTTCCTTGACACCCTCAAGAACAAGGGCTTCGAGGTTCTGTTCCTTGTTGACCCCATTGACGAGTACGCCATGACCCAGCTCAAGGAGTTCGAGGGCAAGAAGCTTGTTGATATCACCAAGGACTTCGAGCTCGAGGAGACCGATGAGGAGAAGAAGGCCCGTGAGGCCGAGGAGAAGGAGTACGAGGCCCTCGCGAAGAGCCTCAAGAACGTCCTCGGCGAGAAGGTCGAGAAGGTCGTCGTCTCCGACAAGCTCGGCGGCTCCCCTTGCGCCATCCGTACCGGCCAGTTCGGTTGGTCCGCCAACATGGAGCGTATCATGAAGGCCCAGGCCCTCCGTGACACCTCCATGTCCAGCTACATGTCCTCCAAGAAGACCTTCGAGATCTCTCCCAAGTCTTCCATCATCCAGGAGCTCAAGAAGAAGGTTGAGTCCGACGGTGAGAACGACCGCACCGTCAAGTCCATTGTCCAGCTTCTCTTCGAGACCTCTCTCCTCGTCTCTGGCTTCACCATTGACGAGCCCTCAGGCTTCGCTGAGCGCATCCACAAGCTCGTCCAGCTCGGTCTGAACATCGAGGAGGACGATGCCGCTCCCGAGACTGAGGCCGCCACCGAGACCCCCGCTGCTGCCGCCACCGGCGACAGCGCCATGGAGGAGGTCGACTAAACGGCTCAAGCCCAGAAGGTTATGAAACCTGAAAAGTTCTGAGGAGTTTGGTAGGGTTGGTTTTAATGTGCTCATGGTATTGGACGTCTCCTAGGTTTTGCGTTTTTCTGTAATGACAATCATCACACGGATTTAGGTGTGAATCATAATCCCACGACCCCACGCCATCAATGAATGGCGGGTTGCGGGGTGTACTCTAGCTAGCTCATCACAAAGTAGATGAAGTAGAATGCGATAAATGGAAATGGCATAGAATGAATTATGCTGTCTACATCAAATCTTGATCCTCTTGAATATGTGAAAATGAACATTTTGCCCCCCTGAATGAATGGACATAGGTATTGGGCACCCAATTAAGCATGAAAAAGTATCAATCCCACGGGAGAGTTTGAGTATAAAGCTAAGCAGCAATAGAAGATGTCAGAACCCGACAACTCAATACAATGAATACGAAAGGTAAAAAAAGCTTCGCTAGCCCAAGGCTGCAGTCATGGAAGAAAATATCATAAACCTTCATTCCGATGACTCACTTGCCGTCAGGACGAGCTGCTCGTCAAACCACTATTTAAGCCGCCCTCTTTCACCTGGCTTCACACTCATCTTACGCCAATCCAAACCCTTCAACACACCGAGCTCGAGGCAACCAGCCTGGTGAGTACTTAGCCCCTCGGCCAGAGTACTGACACCGACACACCCGCAGCCTTCAACACACATATCGTACCAAAGAACGAACACCTTCTCTCGAAGACGAGAGGATCTCCCGGCCGGGCATGTTAAAGGTCGAGATTGGTACGAGCAACCACGAGTATATAGGTCGGGCAAGAGCTTAGAACTGCCTTTGCCTGACCTATATGCTTATGGTTGCTCGTGCTGATTTGGGGCTTTATTATGCTAGACCGGGTCGTCTTCTCCTACGCATGCTATGCACTAGGTGGACAAAATTTGCAAAGCTACAACTAAGATTGTAGTTCCAGTACATGCATATAATATACATTATATACCTACGTTTTTAAGGGATGAATTGGCGTGACTATCAGATGAAATAAAGTAACTTGGACTTTAGCGAAACAAGTAGCCTCGAGGGGGCTGCCTCCCAAAACGCCAATTGAACGCCCCGTCGCCAAAGATGACGAGATAGATACAGGAGAGAAGAAGGGCCTCGCGGATCAAGCAGCGAATTTTGCTCTGAAGAAAGGGTATCCACTCATAGCAGCTAGATAAAACAGAAGAAGAGTAAAGAAAAAGGAATAAGAAAGAGCTGGGTGCTGGTTTTTCCACGTTGATGTGGGGTGGTATAATGTCTATATTGGCGCGCGGCGAGCTTGAAAATTAACATGATGGGAAAATTGTGAAAAAAGAGGAAAGGAATGAGCGCGGATTGGGTTATCCAATGAGATTTAGATGAGGACGTAGAGAGCGCATATCTGGCGAAGGTCAGTATAAGAGCAGACATGAGAAAAGGGGGGAGGAACATACCAGGCTGAGCCCGAGGATCATGGAGCACCAGAAGAAGACGTTGTTGAGCGTCTTGCGGCCGCGGACCCAGCGGGTGCGCTGCATCATGAAGACGGGCAGCTGGAGCATCTGGCAGAAGAAGCCGTAGCCGCGGATCTTCTTGGTGATGCAGGCCATGACGATCTCGTGGCCGATGGCGGAGATGAGGAAGGTGATGAGGGTGGCGTAGGACCTCCCGATGTGAGGGCTGGCGGCCGAGTAGACGTGGCGGCGGAGGAAGGAGTAGACGGGGACGTTCCACTCGCGAGAGAACTCCATCCAGTCGGTCGAGTTCCACCAGTCAGAGTAGAAGTGGCGATCGCCGAAGCGGGTGATCTCGGCGAAGGCGCCCAGGACGTATTCGAAAATGACGAGGAAGACGAGGAGGAAGGTGAGGGTGAAGGGGAACAGAAGCCAGGAGATGGACTCGAGGAAGATCAGGATCCCCTCGGACGCGGATGTCGCAGTCTCGAGACGGGTAGAGGCATCATCAAGGATAGGCAGAATGAACTCCTCCGAAGTTATCGTGAGCAAGAAGATGCAGCCAAAAGTGGCGATGATCTTAGCGTTGAGTGAGGTCCAGTTAATATGGGCAGTTCGCGGATACTCCAGTTCGTAGCAGAGAGTGGGACACAGGAGATAGTCAACGTAGTTGGTCAGGGTGAGATTGCGTGGGTAGGTGACGCTGCCCATGGGAGATGTGAGCTCGCGGGCAAGGTCCTCGCGCAAGGCTTGTACCTCGTCCGCGCTCTCGTCTGTGTCCTCTGGTTGGCGGTTCTTATGGTTCTTAGCCTTGGTGCCCTTGACCAGGAGCACGCCCTCGGGGTTCTCAGCACTGGGGTACAGGTAGGCTGGGCGACGGTCTGCCGTGGAGGGACTGTCCAGCTCCCGCAATCGCTTCTCGGTCTCAGAGAGATGGCCCATGTAAAAGGCGTACGAGTGCATCTTCATGAGGAGGACCATGGTGTGCAGCAGCAGGAAGACCTGCGCCGTCCACGTCCACTCTAACAGGAAAGGGGTAGCGACCCAGAGACTGAACCAAAGCGTCTGGTAGATGCTCTGCAGCACGACACCCCCTCTCCTCCAAGTCCATATACTATTAACGCTACTCCACCTAGCCAGAAGGTGAATGGGGATGCTGACCATGGTACTGGCAACCATGAGGAGGTCGACGATGGCCAGATGCCAGAGCTTCACCGTGAACAGCGTCCAGATGGACGTGCGCAAGGGGAAGCCGGTATCCTTGGTGTTGCGCAGCATGGTGGTGATGCCCATGATGGCCAGGCCGATCCAGAACAGGTTGAAGAAGCCGTGGAAGTCGCGGTAGTCGGACTCTGGGTCGAAATGGGACACTCGGCTCGCGTACTCAATGGTAGGGAAGATGCGCCTGCGCTGCTCGGCGCGAGCCTGCTTCCGCGCAGACGAGAGGTGTTTCTCGGACGGAGGCGCATTTTCTGGTACCGGCGTCGATCGACCACTGGCAGGAAAGGAGTTGTCAGCATTCCGCGTACTGGCAAGGTCACAGCAAGCTATGTAGGATCCTTTTCTTACCTAGAGCGACCGCTCAGGGTATCTTGATCAGAGGGCGCGAGGTGGGCAGGCTTCCCCTCCTGCCCCTCGTTTGACGCCATCCACGCCAGGTCTCTGACCTGGGCGTGTTGCGGTTTGCGCGGACGGGGCCGCAGGACGTGGTCGTCATTGTGATTATTCTGGGAGGAGCTCGTCGTTTCTGCGGCGGAGCCCATGGTTGCTGGAGGAGATGTGAGCCGAGACCAGCCCAGGCGACGACGAGGACGACGGTGATGGAGGCGACGAAGGGACGGGCGAGTTGGTAAGGAGCCTGGCCTCTGGACGGTCTATTCGCTGCGACGTGCGCTCTGGATGCTACCTCTGTGATGGAAACAGAAACATGCAGATCCGGAGGTCAATTGGTGGTGGTGGGGAGAGAGGAAAGGCGATGGAGAGCTTCGGCCAACCAGTGGCTCGGCACCGTGTCAGGTCGAGTTGAGTTAAGCGTGCGGGCGCCGTCGTCGATGATGTGGATGAGTCGTAGCGCGGCTGTATGTCGACGTGGATGGAAAGGAGTTGAAGCAAAGTCAACAGGAGCTATGTCAAAGATGGGTCAAAACCACAGTCAAGAACCAGAAGCGGCAGTCAAGACCAGTCTGGTTTTGTAAGACAGAGAGTTGGGGACGGTTCTGGAAGGCCTTCTCAGACAAATCCCGTCGCAGCCGGAGATTCTGACCAAAGGCCACAACGTCCAGAAAAACAGTTGAGGCGAGATGCGGCGCTCTACGTCACTGATTCCAGGGCTGCAGCAGAACCATCAGGGGGCCATGATTTCATCTGGCCGGCCTGGGGGGCGATAAGTGGGCGCGGCAGGCCTATAATTACGGGGGCCAGCCACTAGCGATGCCTTATGCAATAGGGATTGGATGGCGTAGGGCAGCTGCATGAGTCCGTGTCCGAACCGCAGTCTCAATCCCAACGACCTGATACACCATGCTTGCGCGTACCTTGATATTATCTGCAAGTACTAATTCAGAATCCAGTGACGAACCGTGCGCTGAATGACATTTAATTAGGAATCCGATTTTACGAGAGCTCGCTTCCCGAGCGCGGTGCTGTACGAGATCACCGATCCATCCATCGCCTTCCACAGGGCTTAGTCGTCTTTCTCCCCCTCCTTCGGCAACGTAGCACAAGCTCCATCTCGGCCTCGGTTTCCCTACCCTGCCTAAAAACCCGAAGCCCGTCCTGACTATCGTACCGCCTCTCCCGAACATCCCAGCCAATACCGCTCGTAGCCACGGCCGCGGTTCCAGGCTACCCATTGTTAACGTTGACGACGACATTGCGCAACGTCCGGGACACATGGCATTCACCTTGACTGTGATCAGCCACTGTGGCCACACAACGACCAAGGATGCCCCCCTTACCCCCTTCTAGAAAATAGAGGGCACCAACCAGCTGTTGCATCGCACCCGATCCGGGGCTTGGCTGAGTCCATTGACTACCTAATACTTTATCTCAATGCTTTTTTATTGGCTACTTTTATTTCCAGTGTACGAGTACAGTACCCCCAGCTGGTGCCTGTCTCTGCCTAAGTAATACATGAACGGGGACGTAGAAGCCTCCGATGCTGCGAAACAATGCGCTCCTCTCGCTCACAGATAATGTAATTCCAGAACCCAGTTATCGTGATCCGCGTATAGATCCTGACCAGCAAAGAAACGACAAAACAAGATGTGACTCCGCTTAATGTATGATTTTCCATGTAGGTTACAGTTCTCTTGCAGCCCTTCCAGATACGAAAATGGCCGCGCATGGATATTGGTTGAGTATTGGTTGTATTGGTAGTGTGTGTGTGTGTGCAGCATCACGCGACCTGCACACAAGACACCCCATCCCATCACCACCGGCTCCTCCCCAGAGGCGACGGTGTCAACGACCGCCTGCCGCCGTCGCCGGGCACCATGATGTCCCGGTTGTACCGGCTGTGCACCGTGATGTTCCACGGCATGTGAAGCCACCACTGCCCGTCCAGATGCTCCAGGTGTCCCCGCCACCACTGGGCGTCCTTGTCCCCTACGAAGAGCAGGTAGCTGTCCTGCTCCCTGTGCAGCCTGTCCGTCAGCCGCGCCAGCGTGTCCTCCACGTTGCGCCGCCGCTTCTCGTTGCGCTGGTTGTCCTCGGGGTACGCCTGGGTCCCCGGGTCCAGCACGTCGTCGATGCCGCGGATCACCAGCAGCTTCTGCCTCAGCGGCCTCACCGACTCGCGCACCATCGACGATGGGAGGTAGCGGCTCCCGTGCAGCCTGTTGCGCTTCTCGCGGTAGGGCAGCCCGTCCAGCGTCATGTTCGGCTTGTCCAGGTCCTTGGCCCTGTAGAAGTATACCTCGTCCACGAGGTTCGTAGCCAGCCACATGCTGATCATCTGGTCAATCGTGGTTTCCATCTTGGCGTCTGAGCGCTGGAGGTCGCTCGCGTACACGACGCGGAATGTCGTGAGCTTGTACTCGAGCTCCAGGAGGTGCAGCTTCATCCTGATCGGCTCGTCCATCGGCGCCATCAGGTTGTCCCCTAGGAACCCCGCCGGCGGCTTCCATTTCACTCTGGACGAGCTCGAGTTGGACGAGTCTTGGGACTGGTCTGATAGCGACGGGCTACGGTCGCGTGACGCGTGGTTGATGTGCCGCGACTCCCTAGTGTAGTTTACGCAGATAAAGAAATCCTTGTATCTTCTTCCCGTCTTGTCGGCGTACTTTCTCCGTATGGCTTCCCTTCCCCTGTGGGCCGCGACGTGGAAGTCGGCCTGGTTCACCAACAGCTCGTTATAGAACGTCTCGAGGTACGTGGACACGGTCTGCCAGTGGACGTAATACCACATGGCAGATACGTTTGAGATGCCGTGCCTCAGGAACGTCTGCGCAAGGTTCGTTCCCGACTCATGACGGTTGTACGCCGACAGGCAAGAATTCAACACCACGTTCTCAACCTTGTACCTAGCCAGCACCTCGGCAATCGAGTCCGCTTTGGCTAGGCAAGTCCCGGGCAGATTATACGGCTGTCCTACGGTTTCATCATGCTTTTTAGCGAACAGCAGCCAGGGAACCATTCTACCATGCCTACAAAAAACGTTAGTCCCTTAGACAAGAAAAGAAACGAGGGGGAGGATAAGCCAAGACATCCCAGCTTCTCCCTCAACTGGGTGTGGGGCTGGAACATACTCATCTTCCTGCACAATACCATGCAGATCAAAGTGCACAATGTGGAAGAACACGTCCTGCCGCGACCTGATCCTCAGATGCTGCTCCAGCTCCTCGCGGCTCCCCGGCCGCACCACCTCGAGAAGCATCCTGCCCTTCCCCCTGGTCCTCAGCTTCTTCTGCACGGTCATGAGGGGGTACTGCGCCAGGTCCGGCTCCGGGTCCCTGTCGGCGCCGCTGAGGGTGAAGTCCCGGGCGACGACCAGCAGCACCTTGACGAGGTAGCCGCTCCTGACTGAGGAGAGCTCCTGCGGCACCCGAGATTGCTGGGTGCTGCTGCTACTCCCGCCGGGCACGAAGTTGGCGACGCGAGTGATGCGCATGCAGGGCTTGTCCATTGACTCGAGAAGCTCCCATGCCAGGCATTGGACCCCGTGGGCATTCTCCGACGGCCTCCTGGAGGAGTGATCCTCGACGACGAAAATATGGTACTTGGCAACCCCAGAATTCCGCAGCTCGAGCTTCTTATCCAGCTGAGCAAACAGAGTCTCGGTATAGTCGTCGATCTTGAGCTCGGCGCCCTGCACATCCAGAGGCGCCGCCTCATCGTCGGCCGTCAAGAGCAAGCTAGGCTTCTCCGAGTGGCGGAGGTACGGCTCCAGGATGGACTTGTACTCAGTCTCGGTGAAGGGGTCATTGAGCTCGAACTCGTGGGGACTTCGGTTGTTGATCGTGACGGACAGGATCCACGAGCGGTGCGTGGCGCCGTTGGTTGCTGCAGGCGCTGCGGCATGGTTGTTGGTGCCGTTCGCAGAAACGGAGCCCTGGTGCTGGTGTTGTTGGTGTGCCGTCCGTGGGGATTGCGATCGTGTACGGATCACAACCACCGCATCCATCTCCTGGGCCCGATTCCTGACTGTGTCGTCGTGTCCATTGACAGCATTCTCCGGGTGTCGTGTGCCTCCTCTCGCCGTCTTCGCTGGGGGCCCTCGCCCGCTGCTGCTTCCACCGGCACTTGGGCGGGCGTCTTCACGAATGGTTGAGAGAGGGGTATTTCAAGAATAAGTTTAAATTACCGAGCTGGCTCTGTCCAACTGCTCGGAGAAGTCTATTTCGATCGGTAGAGGACTGAACTACGAAAAAAAGAACACATGCATGGGAAGCGGAGGAAATTAAGCTGGATGTAACATGACACAATCGATGGAGCCTCGTTGGAAAGCAAACGGCTGGGGTTGGAGGCACTAGGAACACATAGCGCACCCGCCCCAAAGCGCCACAAAGGTGAGGGAAGCCTCAATCGACAGACACGCTAGCAGACCGCAAGACGCTGCCGTCGACGATGCTAGACAGTTGGGCGTAGGTAGGGGACCTCGCGCAAAAAACGATGCCATGATGCCGCACAGCAGACCAAGCACAGGTCTTACTTGATAGCTCTGAGCTCCCAGAAATAGGTACGTATATACGGGATGGCGGGGCGGTACTTTGATCTGGTGGCCTCTAGCATCGGGCGGCAAAGACGGGAGCGTCAGGCGACTAACAACAGCCGCTTCCCCCTTGCCCAAATGGGTGCACTTCAGCGCTGAGGAAACACCACTAATTCGAACAAACATCAAAGTTAAGCTTTGGATTGGGCGACGCTTAGAATGACTCCCTCAGCCGGTCCTCAAAGTCGATTTAGTCACTAACGTTGGTCGTCATCCAGCACTTCTCTCTACGTTTCTTTTTCCGCATTGACCCCTGCGCCCGTCTAGGCAGGTCACAGCCGTTTCACGATAAACAAGTACCGGTGGGTACTGAAGGGTAGTATTGGAGGTGTGAACGGATGTGATGCCCTCTCGCTACAACTACACGGCACACGACATGATTGCCTAGAACGCATCGATGCAGGCAACCTCTCCTCCCGCCCTATATTGCACACCCATGCGTCCATATCACTCGCTTCACATAGAACCTAGCGCCCTGCAACCTCCCCCAACCCGCCTCGCCTACACGTATACGAACTATCCCTAGTCAAGGGTCCATCTGTACTCCGTAGCATCGCATCTGCCTTGCTTCCCGCCCGGATCCCCTTCCCCTATGCAGGGCGAACACACCCGTCCACAGGGCATGATTGGACCAGCAGCCAGTGTAAGCAAGCGCTCTTTCAGCTCGGGACAGCCAAGCTGCCTAAAGCAAACATATCCGTCGTCACACGAAGGCCCGGGCTGACTGCCTGCATGCAACATTCCCTCCGGGCTCAGCTTGAGTAGGTTCCATGCACACAGCCCTGAGGACAACGCCCTGTACTGTCACCCTCCCACGACGTGACGAATCCAGACCTCAATAATATGCAGGCCTCCTACATAACCCATGCGCAAAGCCTCTCCCTCGTAGCACCGCAGCCTGTGAACTGTTAGAACGCCCGAGTGACACGTATGGGTTTCCCCTATTCGCCGCGAGACGAACAGGCGAACCACTCACTCACCTCGTGGACGTCATTCCTGCATCCAAATCAGATAAGTAGGTAACACATAGGCGAGGCAGACGATAAGCCACGAACATGTAATCAAATCACACACAGTCACAAAAGTTATTACAAAGGTGGGAACTCAAAATTTGGTGCGCAGATCCCCCCAATCCGGGAGAACCGCAAAAAGATGATGTTTACATTCATTGCTATCGTATGCAAAAGCGGCAGGGACGGCCTCTACGCCGTCTCGCGGGCTGATGCGCTCTGTGGCCAACCCCAGTTTCTCATGATGGGGGTTTCGTACTGGCGGGAAAGAGCGTTTCGTGTCCAGGACCAAGACAAAAAGAGTAATATTATAAAAAAAGAGGTAATAAACGCCTATCCGCATGCCGTCATCAGTGTATCTCATCTCACTGCGGGCCATGCCATGCTCCAATCCTTGTGAGACTCCGGTCAGTCTGTGACCTGCTCATTCTTGTGCCCAGAAAACAAAAAAGGAAATAGGAAAAATGTGAAAACGAGAAATAGAGGAAAGCGAATGTGCCGAAAGACTTCATAAGATTTGCAATATGAGTGTGAGAATATGATGAAGATGGAACAAGACACCATATGCGTAATCATGCTTGACCGTAAATCTTCGAGATAGGTGCAGGTCAATCATGCCGTCGGAACTCCGTATGTATTTGCAAGAAGACATCGTTTCGAATGATGTGGGAAGGAAAAGAACCGAGAGAAAAGACAACCCCAACAAGAAACAGGTGGTAATGTGTGTCCCATTTTGAGCCCAGGAAGCAGACAGTGGGCAAAGGGAATATTTGTTCAATCAAGTACACGCTATGCATTTGTAGGGCACTGCTTGGGTCACTCCAGCCGTACCGCAGGTAAAAGGAAAGAAGACAAGACGCGACAAGGCGATATGGTAGGAACACGATGGACCTAGACATTCTATGCCTGGACCGGGTATTCGCCACCATATGCGGAGGGGTAGCTGCTGAAAGCGATATCATCGACTCCGTAGGTCTTTGAGGTCTTCACCCTGTCGTAGTAAGAGCCGCTGCCGCCATACCCAGAGTCTCTTGCATGCATCGATGGACGCGCGGGGTAATCCTCTGGATAGTATGGGCTGGTGCTGAACGAGCCAGTGGGCTCGTAGTCAGCGCGGTTAGCGAAGGAGTATGATGTGCTGTACAGATGGGAGCGTCCGTTATCGACATGATAGCGGAATTCGGACGGTCCCTCGGGGGACCGATGCTTCTTGCTGCTCCGGTGCTTGCGCTCTCGGTGCCTGCGATCGTGATCCTCAATCTCAGAGTCAGACACCACCTCGTCCAGCGTTGGCTGTGCGTGGTGCTTGGACCTGTGCCGGCCACGATCACTTCGAGGCGACTCGCCGCCATCACCATAATTGGCAAAAGTCTTAGATCTACCAACAGGGATGGGCCGGCTTGAAGATGTCACGGGCACCGAGTTTGTTCTGTTCAGAGTTGGGGGCGAAGTGGCATACTTTGGCGGTGAAGCACTGATGTGCACCTCGTCCTCATCATCATCAAGCTGCTCCCGGGACGCCTTTCGGCGAGATTTCTCCTTGTAGCCTTCTGGGGAGGCACGGCGAGCCGAAGAACGACGAATATCGTCGTCCTTGGGAGGGGAATGGGGGCCGTTTCGCGCAGGCGGGGGTGTAGGGGCAGATGGCTTCTCTGAATAGTACACGGGGTCTTCTCTCCTAGCCATGCGGATGTACTCTTGGGCAAAGGACCGCGCGTGCGATCCGTCAGGGAATCGAGGGCTGGGCTCATCACGGTGCACTGACCGATCACGCTCCCGCTCGCGCTTCTCCTCGTGCTTCTTGCTTGACGACTTCTTCTTCTCCGGCTTGGGGATGTACTCCTCTTCGTGCTCGACGTAAATGTCCTCGGCATACCTGTCCTGTCGCTTCTCCTCGGAGCCCTTCTTGATGTCCTTGGACTTGGCCTTCTCGCGTTCCTTCTTCTCCTTCTTCTCCTTCTTCTGTGCACGTCTCAGCTCCTCCTCTTCTCTCTCCTTCTTCTCATTCTTCTCACGTCTTCGGCGCTCCTTGTCTCTCAGCTCCTTCTCCTTCTCCTTCTCTCGCTCTCTCTCCCGCTCGCGCTCACGGTCAGATTCACGCTTCGAGGGCTTCTCAGTATATGATGCCTCCCGCTTCGACGAGTGGCGAGGCTCGTGGTCGTAGTACGACCGAGACCGAGACTGGGATCTGCTCCGCTTCTCCTCGTCGTACCCCCCGGCGGGAGTGTACGTGGTGAACACCCGGACATTGGGGGATCCAGAGGCCGGCTTGTGGGATGACCGAGATTCAGAGACCTTGATGTCGTATTTTCGGGGCGCGGAGGAGTTGGCCTTGTTCTGCAGCTGCGCCTTGAGCTCGGCCAGTCGGAGCGAGTCATCGTAGCGGCGTCGTTCCTTTTCGTTGGAGAGGACCTCGTAGGCGGTCTGAACCTTTTGGAATTCGTCCTGCTTCTCGGCCTTGAGGGTCGGGTCCTGGACCTTATCCGGGTGGCATTTCAGAACAAGCTTCCTATGGGCGGATCGGATCTCGGGAATTTGGGCATCCTTGGCAACACCAAGAATCGCGTAATGGTCCGGAAGTGGGCTCATGGTGCTGTTTGTAGGATATAGGGGGCCTGGATTGCATCAAGAAGAGACGGGTAAACTTTGTCGGCCAGCGAAAAGAACGGTCTCTGTATGTATCGTGAATGAATGGTTTCGCTGGGTTCCAGACTCTTCAAGGCAGTGAGAAAAAAATCAAAGGGCTGGGTATGGAGGGGTGCGGGAAGGTTCCTAGTGTAAAGTATAATATTATGGATGGTGTCGAACCGGATCGAGAGTTGGTATCAAGTCTGTAGCTTGTGTTGTACGGAAGGGGTTGGGAGCAGGCGGATTCGTAGACCGTATTTAAAGGCACGAAAGGCTTCCAGTGAATGATCAGGTTGGGAAAGGTGTGTTAGTCAACGTTGGCAGACTGAAAAGATTATCAGTCCGTTTGTTCGATGACAATGTGTGAATGATAGATTGGTGTTGTTGGAGCTTAGAGGTTTGGCTGGGGCGTTCTGTTATGAAAGACCTGGAGGTCCGTGGAAACAGAAGGACAAGGAGTGGGAGGGAAGAGCCTACTAATGATGAGGTCACGGGCTTGCTGGGGGATCCTCCCCTTGTGTCTTCCCTAGGGGACAAGCGTAGATAGAACTGGATGGGGGACAGCCGATCAGACCGTAGAAAGAGGGGGGCAAAAAGGTGGGCTTGGAGTGGGTAGATGACAGGGAGCTTCTCAGAATGAACGAGTCGTGAGAACGCTCGCTACTATGCACGCCGCTGTTGGTGTGGAATCGGGGCCACGCTTGGCTCCCTCTAATGGATGGTGGGGAGGTCTCTGGAGCAAAAGCATAGGTGGAGGACCGGCAATAGTATCTC